CCCTAAAAACCACCCCTGTATTGACAAAAATGATAAAAAATTACTTTTTAAAAGCTTGGAATGTTTTAACGGTGCAATTATTTAAAATAAAAATTTCCTAATTGCTTATGAAAGAATTTGTATCTCACAACACTTTTCAACCCTTATAAATCACCCCTGTGCTAAAAAAATGATAAAAAATTACGTTTTAAATCTTGGAATGCTATAATTGTGCAATAATTTAAAATAAAAATTCCCTTATATTGTTTATGAAAGAATGTTTTACTTTTGCCATTTTCAACTCTTAATAAATTACCCTTTTACCAATATTAATGTACAATATTTTTATTACAATCGATTTTTAAATATAATCAATCATAAAAAAATTGCTACGCTGCATTTAAATAAACACACAATTTTTTTTTACTTATTTTATTTGTATAATATAATATACAGGGTGGTCCGAATTTTATGCAGGAAACTTCGAGGGCAGATAGATCTCTTTAAAATAATAGGTGTTTGCCTTATAAACATAGGTCTGGAACGGCCTCTTTTTAGAGATACAGGGTGTTAAAGTTGTTAAAAAAATTTGATTTTTTGTTTATAAAATTTTGTCAATAAAATTTGGTACAGATAATGTATGACAGTAGGCCTTGCATTCCTTAAAATATGAGCTCTAAAGGTTCAACCAGTGGGGTACAACTAGACAGGGGTCGCCCTCTTTTTATAAAAAAAAACTACGCCACTGTATTTTTTACAAGTTATTGTAACCGATTTATATTCTAATGCACTAAATACGTAAAAAAGGTAACTTGAATTTTTTCCCTAAGATTCGCCGTTCTCAAGTTATTCATACCAATACAATCCCCTTGTGGCAGACACTTCGAACCATAATATTACAAGAATATTTATGTTTATGCTTAAAAGTAAGTGCAATTTGTAAGCAGATCAACAAAATTATTTCCACATCACCTGTGAGGTAGTGTTCCTAGTGTGTTTTAGTTTCCCCTGGAGGCTTAATCCACTATCTTTACAAATAAGAACAATTTAAATCAAAATAATACTAAAAATAGATTTACCAAACAACAACAATTAAACAAGAAACGAAATTAACGTTACGTATTTACAGCAATTGTTCAAAATGCGAACCATCCACATCGATACATTTCTGACAACTTCTATTAATGATTAATGGAATTACCTAATATCACGTTGTGCTTTTCTTTTAATTCATTACACCCGTCTTCTATTCGCTGCAATAGTTGTGGTCTTGATCTCTTGGAGTAGAGTAAACTTTACTTTTCAGGTAGGTAACCCCAAACATAGAAATCCAGGGGGTTTAGATCTGGCGATCTGGCTCGCCAAGACACTGGATTCTCTGCATCATTATGGTTGACATTAGCATTTGGTTTTCAACCTATCCATCGTCCCTTATAATTTTTAAGCCATTCTTGTATTATTCTCTTAAAATGCTCAGGAGCACCATCCATTTGTATCCAGCTATTTTGTGGTATATTTAATTTAACATCCTCTAATAATTCAAATAGATGGTTTTCTAGAAAGTTTATAAATTACTGGGAATTTAGATGGGATGACAATTATTATTCCGAACCACACTTTCACAGAAAATTCGCGTTGAAAAGATCTTGTTCGAATTTTATGAGGATTTTCTTGTGACCAAATATTTTGAAAATTCACTACCCCTCGCCTTGTGAACGTAGCCTCATCAGTCCAAAGTATTTCTAGTAAGAATTCTAGATTATGTTGTGACTTTAAAACAACCACTAACAAAAATTTAGGTGTCTCTACATTTCCCGGAAGTAAATTTTGCACAGGTTGTAAATGGCAGGGATTTCTACCATCCTTATGTAATTTTCGATTTACTCGAACAGATTCCGGAGATATAAACAAAAAATCAAATTTTTTTAACAACTTCAACACCCTCTATCTCTAAAACGAGGCCGTTCCAGACCTATATTTATAAGGCAAACACCTATTATTTTAAAGAGATCTATCTGCCATCGAAGTTTCCTGCATAAAATTCGGACCACCCTGTATAATATATAAAAATGAGAAAGCCTCGGTTAACTATAATAACTCGGTTAATTTTGAAGTTATAGTATCCTACAAGAAAGCATTTTAAAGATAATTTCAAGAGCAGTAAGATCGTCTGCATATAAAACCTTTTAAGTTTTTCGTTTTTTAAAGGGAAAGGATCGAAGGGCTCGAGACAGGTCGTTTTTTCACTAAAATGGATACTTCAAGCGGCGATATCTCCTTTATTTTTTATGCTATAAGAATAAAAAAAATTGTTGAAAAATAAGCTACATTTTTGTTGTCTATAATATTTACGTATCTTTCATAGTTTCAGAATTATTATATAAATAAGGCATTTTTTTTGAATAATGAAAAATACATTTTCAACTTTTACTGTTTATTATTCAAAAAATACACATTCTAAACCGGTCTAACTTCAGGATCGTATGAAAAACACTAAAACAAAACTAATTGTAAAGGGTCTACGATTAATTTTAATTCTGACGGAAATGGTACAGCGATTAGGTACTGCTCATTTTTCCTTAAAAAATATGAGCAACCCATCTGTTTTTGACGATAACTCCTTCAATTTTGCTCTAATTAACTTTTATAAGTGCTCATTTTGAAGGTCTTTTTGAGTACTACAAATCCTTTTTCCGTTATTTGACGTTGAATACATCGATTCGAGTACTCCCCCAAAACAAGCCCCCTGCCAATAACCATAGTTGGCTTTTTATAGGACGTACACTTTTTAAAAAACGATTTTCTTTGTTTATTTATAAGTTACATTTTTGTTCATTACACTTTTTTAATAAAATGCGTAGTTTTTGCGAAAAATACCTTGAAAAAGTGTTTTTTTCCACTCAAAATTCCAAGTTTTCAATCGTGAATAACTAAGAAACTATTGATTTCTCGAAAAAATTCTTCGAATATTTTGTACTCAAAATTTGATTCTCTATCGATTTCCAGCGTTATTTAAAAAAAAAATGTCCACCCGCGAGAAGGGGTGTCAACCCCTAACAAGGTGGAAGCGTCAATCGGTGGTATGTCACTAATGTTCATTGGCCTTTTCTCTATGTGCCAAATTTCAAGTCGATCGGTTCAATTTCAAAGAATTCGGAGGTGAAAAGCTTCAATGACTGTACTAATAAACAACTGTTCAACGACATGCTTGGAAAAAATTACAACCGTGAGTCATCATAAACCTTTGGCTAAAAAGTGTACACCGACATCCTTTTTTTGTAATAAATCCCGCAATTCCTCCTTAAATTATTGGAAATCCTCAGTAAANAAGGATCGAAGGGCTCGAGACAGGTCGTTTTTTCACTAAAATGGATACTTCAAGCGGCGATATCTCCTTTATTTTTTATGCTATAAGAATAAAAAGAAAAATTGTTGAAAAATAAGCTACATTTTTGTTGTCTATAATTTTTACGTATCTTTCATAGTTTCAGAATTATTATATAAATAATGCAATTTTTTTTGAATAATGAAAAATACATTTTCAACTTTTACTGTACATTATTCAAAAAATACACATTCTAAACCGGTCTAACTTCAGGATCGTATGAAAAACACTAAAACAAAACTAATTGTAAAGGGTCTGCGATTAATTTTAATTCTGTTGGAAATGGTACAGCGTTTAGGTACTGCTCATTTTTCCTTAAAAAATATGAGCAACCCATCTGTTTTTGACGATAACTCCTTCTAAAATGCGTAGTTTTTGCGAAAAATACAAAAGTGTTTTTTTCCACTCAAAATTCCAAGTTTTCAATCGTGAATAACAACAATAACTATTGATTTCTCGAAAAAATTCTTCGAATATTTTGTACTCAAAATTTGATTCTCTATCGATTTCCAGCGTTATTTAAAAAAAATGTCCACCCGCGAGAAGGGGTGTCAACCCCTAACAAGGTGGAAGCGTCAATCGGTGCTGTCACTAATGTTCATTGGCTTTTTCTCTAACTATGTGCCAAATTTCAAGTCGATCGGTTCAATTTCAAAGAATTCGGAGGTGAAAACCTTCAATGACTGTACTAATAAACAACTGTTCATCGACATGCTTGGAAAAAATTACAACCGTGAGTCATCATAAACCTTTGGCTAAAAAGTGTACACCGACATCCTTTTTTTGTAATAAATCCCGCAATTCCTCCTTAAATTATTGGAAATCCTCAGTAAATCCTACTACATCCCTCTAAATCTAAGTACGTCATAGTAATGCTTTAGTAAATACTCCCATGTCTCAGGAGTTCTATAAGAAAAACCACGTAAATCCTTATACATCTTTTTACATATTTTTACTTACACTTGCCATCTTCTGAGATTTATACAGGGTATCCCATAAGAACGCGCATGATACATCGATGTTTGTGACATTGATTTTCTATTTTTAAATATAAATGTTTATATAGATGTTATTGTCGTTACCATAAAAATTGTGGCTTTATTAATTTTACGCATCCTCATATCATGTAGCTATATCATCCAGCATCCAAAGCATTGAAAAGGACTCTAAATCAACGCAAAATCATTCAACCTCTCGATCAAACCTAACGAAAAAAATTATAAAATTTAGAATTTTAGAATTAAACTGAATTTACTTGATACCCTCGAAGTAACGGAAGAAATCTCTCTCTTCCAGGCAGCACGATGCTAGTGCACGCCTCCTTAGGCATCGTATTCTTCCTCTTCGACCTGGAACGCAGCCTCTCCGTATCCTTGAACAGATCCCAGCAGTCGAAGCCCCAAAGAAACAACCACCAGAACATCTCCACCCTCTTGGACAATCTGCTTAGCGGCTACGACAACAGCATCAGGCCGGATTTCGGTGGTAAGAGGCTGGTTTTGATCGAGTAACGTGTATGAGTAGCCGGCTAATGAATCCGCCGATAGTGCCAGGGCTCGTTTCCAACGAGCAGACAGCTGCCATTGTTCCTGATTACTTAGGCGAGATTAGGATGTGTTCGAAATTCAGCGGGGTCGAGTGTGGAGCTCGTAGCTCGTGACCTGTGTCATGTTCGGGAAAGTACGCAATTCTCTTCTTATTGTGATTCTTTCGCTTACTATTTAAGTTACCCTAAACGTAACATTGAGCTTGAGAAATAGTCCAATTAAATGGGATTTTAATTCTCAATCCGGTGAAACAGAATATTGTGTTTTAATGTAATCTTGATCCTATGTTTTAATAATTTCTGATTTTACCGGAATTTAATTGCCAACTGAGGGTCTGCATTTATTGTTAAAGAGGGTAATTTTTCTTGAAAATAGATACAACAATGACGATTTTAAATATTCAGGAAACAAACGTAAATAAAACGTATTTATTTGTCTATAAAAACGTGTATCAATAATTTCATGAAAATTCTATTTTGTATTTAAATTTTTATGTAATTTTCCTAATTAATAATGCTGTCTAATTTATATTCATTTAAGTGTAGTATAAAGGAATTTTTGTACCATACACTCAATGTACAACATTGTTAATAGAATATGGTTTTTACTTTTTCAATATCCCACACTTGATATTCTCGTAAACATGCATAATATCATACAAGTGATATCTTAATTGCGCCTAATTTAATTGATCGTTTCATTCTAGGCTACGGCAGTTTTTGCATCTATAAATGCAAAATTCATACGACATTGACATAGCTGAATATTTAACTATTGTTTATAGGGGAAACAATGTACCATAACAATGCAGAACAGATTATTAATCAGTGTAAATAAGTACTACTTATTCAATATACATTAAGTCTTATTGTAACTTTGTTTTAGGTCCGCCTGCAGTCATAGAGGTCGACATGAATGTTAGAAGTATGGGACCTATATCGGAAGTAGATATGGTAAGGAAATCTAAAATAGAACATACATTTTTTGTAAATTCTATTTCCCTGATGATATACATAATACAACTTTCAGAAATAACTTATACGCCTATGACTTTTGTATATCCACATATTTATAGGGGGGAAAATAATCTTGATTTTTTGCCTAATTTGCATAATAATATTTTTTACTACAGGAACTACAATTTTTCAAAGGTATTTTAATTAATATGCTAATACAGAGAAAAACCAAATCTGAACGAGGTCAATATACAAAAATAATAACAAATAACTATAAATTATACATAAGAAATATGTAAACATTGTTATTAGCACGAACAAATTATAAAATATAACAGAAAACTTTGGTTGGTGTTGGTTTTCAAAGTTACACTGTCAGATTGTAAACATAACGTTACTTTTGTTTAAAAAGCTACATTTTTTCGTATTCGAAAATTGTTATTAACTTCATTTGCTTCGTTAAACATAACTTTCTAAGGTTTAAACCATATTTATGTATTTTTTTATGTTTATTTGTTATTATTTTATTATGACCTCGTTCAGATTTAATTTTTGCATTTGTTAATCTATTAATAACATTCTCTTGAAAAACTGTAATTTCTGTAAACAAGTATTAAGCAAGTATCATTATGCAATTTATTTCCAAAATTTATTTTCAAAATCCAAGAAAAAAACTATTTACATATTATTTTTTTTGTAAATGTCGCTCGAACGAAATATGCATAAACTCGAAAATTTTCAACCTTTTCTCTTAAAATTTGTGCATTTCCTGGCGAGATACTACGATATATAAAAATAGATTAACAATTTAACTTAAAACCGCAAAATAATGTTGGAATCATCCGTATACTGCATGCAAAATATTAATAAATTATAGGTTAAAAATTAGTTTAAAACTCGGCGGATCGCTGTATGCAATATAATTAGTCAATTGACACACGCCAATTTATCAAATCCGCCACCATCGTTCAACAATGTATAATTAAATGATAAAATTCATATGTTCAGGACAAATTCGATTGTGCCTAAACTGTCGCAGCATTCATTGTATGTTTTGAAAATAAAAATGGATCATTTCATCGTAAAATTTATTTTAAGAGATTTATTTAGGTATTTTGTCACAATATTTATTTTGAATATTTTGCAGGAGTGACTAGGTTTTATTAAAAAAAAAACAATTAATTATCTTATCTTGATTTATTATACAGGGTTAGTTTGAAAACCACCAAAAATTTCGACGGAAAAGCATTTTTGGGATAAATGGTGAGGACAAAATTCTCAGCATTTCTCACGGCGCATACGATTGTAACCTTGACCTTGAGGACAAGGTCAAGGTTTAAGGTCATATCAAAATCAAGTCGGTTTTTTTAATGGCGACCCTCCTTTTCGACCCCGAAAATAGAGAGACCAGAAAATTCTGCATCCGAATATAACATTGACTGTGACCTCAAAGTCAATGGTCAAGATCAGTTCAAGGTCAAATGTTGATTTTTACTGTAATTTGTCATTTTTAACTACGGAATCAGAGGGAGTAATAGTCTTTGAGTGGATACCTAGTACATCTTTGAGTTGGTACCTGTATAAATCATTTGAACTATGTTAAATGTTTAAAATTGACCTTCCTATTTCCATTAGCCGCCACTGCTTATAGTTAGCAAATATCGACTGATGTAATCCTTAATTATTTATTTCTTATTACAATTGTTAACCTACAGGGTGTCCCAGAAACTGCGGCGATCGATATCTAGGGAAACACTGTTCCGAAAAATTTGAAAATTTGACAACACGGCAGTGTTTCTGGGGCGAACACAACTAAAATATGTAGAACTCTCCAGCACTTCCGGTTATACCGGAAGTCGACACCAACTTCGTTATTTTAAATGGGACACCCTATATATTAATGCATTTTCGGATTCTACGTGAAATTTGAGGGTAACTTTATTAAATACTAGCGTCCCGGCTTCGCACGGGTGGACAGTTAATTTAAACATTTTGGGATATAAAAAATATAGCCTATGTTACTCAGGGATAATGTAACATTCTAACGGTGAAATAATTATCGAAATCCGCCCAGTAGTTTTTGAGTTTGTTCGTAACAAACATACATACATACAAAAATACAAATCTTTCCTATAATATTAGTATAGTTTAGTATAGATATAGATATAGATTCCCTATACCTAGGAATTATAGAATTTGGGATATTAATATTTACAGAAAAAATTTGACAGATGCAAGGGTTCGCGGAGATGCTAGTAACTCTTTTCAGGAGCGTGTTATCAAGTGGTACCTGTAAATGGCATAGGTAACAACAAATTAAAATATTTAATACTAGGTGTTTCATTTTTGCTGTTACGTTTTGATAATTTCAAACAGCTATAACTTTGTTAACTTAGATGGAACGCTCTGTATTTTTTACTGTCATGTGCAGATTGAAATTTCCTTTTAAGCCATATAAGCATTGTTAGAGTTACCTTTACTACTTTTAGCAATATATTTGCAATTTTTTATTTTTTGGACAGTTTTTCTCTCATCAGACCTGTTGTCAAATTGGCCATGACCAGAAACACTCCAAAAACAATTGAAATAACTAAACATTTGTCAAGTTAGTTGTCAAATTATTGTTGCGTCTGAATAGTTTTTGCTGAAAATTTAAATAAAAATGCCTGGGGATCGTTTAAATTGTACTAATGAGGATTATTTTAATTTGTTTGTTATTCATGGAAAAAGCAGCAAATTCTCCACATGTATACTAAGTACAGCTTGATACTTCTCATCTAATAACTGTTAACTACGAATTTTTCTAGACCTTTTCCGGCATTCAATTATAAAATCAAATAAGCCTCAAGGAAAGATTTATGCTGCTCAAAAAAGCACTCCAATAATTAAAAAAATGTGGCGATCAGGGACCGGATTAATTTCGTCCTTTTTACGATTGAATTAACTTTTATCAAAAATTCATGAAAAATCCCCTCTCGGAAACACGAATTATTCAACCCTTGATGTAATTTATTTCAATTAACATTAAATTTTGTAATACATTAATGAAAACGAAGTGCATGTAATTAAAGTTATAGACGTCGGCGTCGTATACACAGTTAAGGCCAGGGGCTATGTATATCTCGATATCACAGCTGCGATTTTAAAGTAAAACATTTAATATCAAATATGGCCAAAAAAATTGAAAACACTTTTAAGTTCCTAATATTGGCAATTAAAGTAACTCATCGTAATGTTCAGTTCCAAGTTTAAACTGATATTCAATATGCATGGATTATATAGGAGCAGACCAAATATCTATTTAAATTTATACGTCTTTGGCAGCGTTGCCAAATTTGGCACTTAGAAAAAATCTCAAAAGTTAATTTACTTCTTCAACTATATGTAGAGGTACTTTTTAAAATAATGCCATATTTAGTCAAATTCTTCAAAAAAAATTAAATGTAACCCTATAACCTCATTTGTTTTAACCCAATAATTTCGAAAAATAAATATGAAAACTAGGAGCCCACATCTGTTTCCGTTTTGAAGTTGACAAAACGCCTTTTTTATAAAAAAAATGGGGTGTGTTCTATTGAATTTTAGCATTCATTTAGACAATTTAGAGCAATAATTTTGTCTCAATTTTGAAATTTTGTTACCTGTGAAAAAATTAAACAGACCTTTGTGCCAAAAGCCCCAGTCAAAGGTTGCTTTTATAAAACTATTTTTGCCTAAATCACATGTAGTTAACGTTTAGAAAATCAATCTGTTTTTAATTTGAAAACTATGAGCGACATTTTTTCTTTAAATGCAATATTTTGAAAAATATATAATAAATGAATAAATATCATATGATGTATCTAATTGCGGAAGCAGATAAACTAATAAAATTGCAACTTTCGAACCTATTTGAAAAATAAACGTCATAATCGTAGTTTTGAAAACGAAAATTAAGTGAAGTGTGTGATATGGCAATGCGTATTTTTTTGGCTGTTTTGTTAGAAAAAAATAGCTTCTAAAACACATTTGGGTGTTCCTTTCCAGTAAAATATTTTTTTGAGATGCATGGCAGTGTCCAAATAAGCACAGAAAAAAATTTAAAAAGTTTTCCTAAACAGTGATAGAACTACATTTAATTTTTTGCGAAGTCTGTCCGAGAATGACATTATTTTGAAAACCTCCTGTCGTTGAGCACACAAATTAATTTTCGAGTTATTTATAATAAAAATAAACCAGATATGAATATATATGAAGTTTTATAAACATAGGTACTTGTTAATACATTTTCACCTCAAAATCGTCAGATGAAAGATGTCAAAGATATAGGCTCTTCATGGCCTTACCTGTTCAACTGTAATTGAAAATGTTCTTAGACGTACTCGATGGACTGTTACTTCCGTCAATCGTGGGTAGACAAAAGACTAGCCTTCTCCCTGCACTCCAGCGATACTCTGGCGCTCAGCATCTCCATGTTGGCCAAAATATGGAAGCCGGACACATACTTCTACAACGGCAAGCAGTCCTACCTGCACACCATAACCACGCCCAACAAGTTCGTAAGGCTTTTCCAAGACGGCAGGGTGTTGTACTCTTCCAGGTAAGTAAAAGCTTCTACAGTGAAACAAGAATAACTCGAATTGAGTATAAGAAGTTTATGTAGCATTTTTTTATTGAAATCGTTCAAGCATGTCTACTCTCTCTGTGCAATTTCATATTCTAAAATGCCCTATTCTACTATTTTAGTTAGTTGCTAAGCAACCATCACTGAACAGTACGAGAGAGTTAAGGTAATTCAAATATATTCAAAATATTTTTTTCCTAGAAAAATCGTTTCAAAAATAAAACCATGAGCTTTGATTCCAAAAATCTAGGTATGCAAGAAATATCTTATAGAATAAAACATGAGATAACTAACAATAAACTGTATATTTTAAAAAATAAATAGACAGTGATTGTCAAAGAAAGATTTCATAAGCAATTTAGGCATTAATAAAAACTTCTTAATTCCTCATAGTAAATGCCTCGTCCATCAATTTACATTATCGTCTGGAAATATATCGCTTTTATTACTAGACACAATATGCAGGATACTTTTCGAATTATATAATCCTTAATTGTTTGAACAATGTACCTCCAAATAGAATTTTTTGTATTGATATTTGGTACTGAATCGTATTCTGTCACTGTCCAACAAGAAATTGGTAACAAATCTGCAATACTTGAAGCTTCCGCAGTGAAAAGATTAATTTTACGAACCTCGCAACTTCCTAAATAAAACGAGTAAAAAAGATAACTAATGAAACGAATGAGGAAGGCCACAATCAATTTAACTGAAAAAGTGTCAATCGCTCGGCAGACGAATTATATTATTCATTGACTCGGCGTTTTAGTATAACTCTACACGATCGTAAGGAACTTATTTGACATTGTGTTACATATTTCCCTGCTACTCGATCAATCATCTAAGACTATGTTCAATTTAGACTCTCTTAAGGACCTATCATATACCTTTTCCGCGATTTAAAAGCTTTTTTTATTAAATTACATCCTATATCCGATTCATCTCGTCAATAAGCTTCATATTTTGTGAGTTAGAACTTAATCGTCTTGATATTTACAGGAAAACTACATTTTACTTTGTGAACTATTATATTTGGGTAGATATAGATAACTAGAGGGTATTAATGATAAGTTTTGCCAAGCTTTAATGGCGTATTCTACCGATGAAAATAATGAAGTTCCTCCTCTATCAGTCCAGTGATTAGGATACAATATTCGGCAACTGTCTAACTAAGGCTGTATTGAGGTGGCGCCCCATCATGCATATACCACAATAATTGGCGTAACCTCATTGACATTTCTTCTAGAAGTGGTGGCAATTCTTCTTGTAGGGACCTTTGATAAGTAATTCAGAGAAAACTGTTCTTGGAATGTCTAATATGCGGATTTTCATCTGTCTGTCTATACAGTCGTACAGCTTGCTAGCATTGCCATTCGCTCTACCGTATGTAAAATGTATTTCTGCTAATTCAATATGTGTATAATTGTATACCACATTTCTTTTATTAAAATCTTTAGTTGTATGAAAAATAACAAACTTTTTGCAACACACAAAATAGTAGCGTTTCTATAGTGTTTTGAAATCTCTCAAAAATATTGGGTATTGAATTTATTGTTACACATTTAGCAATCAATAGAAAATGATAAATAGCAACGTAGGTACTTAAGAAGCTTCTTATTTGATTTCCCAATTATCTAAAGACCAGTAAATTTTACGAATACTTTATTGCCAAAATTGATTGTAGATTTTTACCCAAGACGACGTATATACTTTAATCTTTCAGCATCCTTATGTACTCTACTTATAATTAGCGTGCAAAGAATGAACGAAGATAATACTGCAATTTGCAGATATTCTTATTGTCACTGTATCTTTAAAAATTGTACAAGTTTCCTTGACACAAATTAAAATACGAATTAAATCAAAAATAGTAATAATTTTGCGTAGACTGCTTTCCCATCGTGACCAAAATAAAATTTCGACTTCATAACTCGACTTGAACTCCCTGCGGCAGAGCAAAAACTGGTCCGATGGTCGCCCTTTCCGAGAAGAGTAAGTAAATCAAGACCGCATTGCCCTGTTTGACTACGTTGATGGCAAACATCGAAATGGGCGTACCTCCCGGTGCATCCCCGAAGAGGACTAACTTTAATTAAACCGTAGGAGGGCAACTCTCGGCTAGCATTTGCATAGTTCATTGATGGGCCCACTTTATTCGAGTCCGTGCGGACGGAATGGATATTAATTGGGGGCCGATTAGAGCCGCATCAGATAAAGGGCTCCTATAGCGAAGGAGCGCATATTTGAGGTAAAGTACTTCGCATATTTAAGTGCATAGCAAACAGTACTGTCAAGGGGTTTTCACGTTTCGTAATATGTGAACTTGTACAATGGCGTGCACATCTTTTTGCAGTTAAGAATAAATCCAAATGTGAAACTTTCGAAAGAAAATGTAGGGTAGGTACATCTTTTTCTGAAATCTGCATGAGCCTACACTACAATACTGACAGATGGTTTAGATGGTCTTTCGTGTAATACATTTTTTCGTTTTGATCTCTTGGTTGTTTTGAGCTTACAAAAAGGTGACCGATCTTTTTAATTGTGTTTTATTTAACTACTGATATTATACATATGATAAAAATGAAGGGTTGCGACATCAAGTTTGAAAAGAATCAGTGTCAACATATTGACGCACTTTATCACTTATGAATAGAGCCCGGACAGAGGTACTCAAGACTTTTTTTAATGTCCATCACAAAGTAAACGAAGCTACTTCCGTACTTCATAGCTCCATACATCCTACAGATAATAGTTCTCGTTCCCAGTAATCGTTAGAACCAAATAATGCCAATATAATGTGAAGTGATCTCTCGTTACTTGCCGATGCCGTTCCATCACAGCTCGACGACAATAAGGCGGATGCAATAACTGTGCCCCCATCGCTCTATAGAGCCTCAGAGATTTACGTGTTGACGGTACGTGAACGGAGTTAAGCGACTTCCTCGTGATATTTACCAAGCGGTCTCGTCCTCCTAATAATTGGTTTCGTGATTATTAGAGATAAACTGTATTTCTCGTTTGTCCTCGACCGCTGGGGTGGATTCAAATAAGGGCCGGCCGACAGATGGTGGAGTATCGCATTTCAATTAGCGCAATTGTTGCTGAAACACAGGAGTCGGACCTTTGCTGTCTGCGGTAATGAAGCAAATAGACGAAGTTTCGAAAAATTGTGAGAAAGAAACATGAGTTCCTGTCTACAAGAAATTGCCATACCCAAATACAGCTGCTGGCTGGTGCGGGGGGGCTCCGGAGCGCCGGCCTCTCCAGAAATTGTAAAAAAATATATTTATAATTTAGTTTACAATGTACATAATTAAATAGATAAGCCTTATGAAACACATTAAAAAGGAAATGTTAAATTTGTAATGTGCAGTCAATTTAACTCGACTTGCAAAATTCGTTTGCAAAACGTGGGCTCCTCATAGCTCGCTTCTACTTCTGTAAAGTGTTTACAGCGGTGGTCATGGTCACTGTCGCACAGAAGTGAAAGACGGAGTAGGAGTAGCGCATATTTACTATGCAGTTTGGGCTTTCTTTTGTCCGATTGTAAATAATAGCTATTCACAACTTTCATTCTTAATAAAAGTAATTTGTTCAGATGTGGTGTAAAATTTTGTTACTTGCGTATTGTTTCTTGTATGTTTTTTAATAGATTGGAAGAATTTAAATAGAGAAATAAACTTTCACTATAAAAAATAATGTTGAGTACATTTTTCCTATCAATTTATTTTAATAAAACTTAATATAAAACTACCCAATTATAATTAATATTTTTTTTCAATACTTTATACCGAAATTTCTCCGCCCTTCCTGGTGTAGAAATCAATCATTTAATGACGTCACAATGCTTACTTTATATTTTTTTTGGAGACTGAAATAAAATTTTAACCTAAACCTATACATATTTTTTTTTAATCGTATTGCAAATAGTTACATAATACTGATGGTTTCTGACACGTGTGTATTTTTTCCAGTGTCTACTTAAAAAAATACACATTGATCCTTTTTCTGAAGGGAGTTTTGATTTGCACCTTAGCATTACAATTTTTACTAAAACACTGATAAAACCCTCCGAATACGATTCTCATATCGAAAGATACATTCATATACTCAAAGTCTACAGCGGTTTCTTTAATATTTGGACAGAATAACCCTATACTAGAATAAAATGGCAGCTCTTATTCCTCTTTAGTTAGAATGTTTACTGTGTCTCCTATTTTTCTGAAATATTAGTTTTGGCAAACACAAGTTTAAGTGATGGTCGTGGGGCATGTGCGAAGATAGCTTTGGACGCTGTCGTTGATCGATAATGTGTCGGCAGCGTTTTGTAAATATTAGAGAGATTAAAATCTATTAAATTTAACTTCGGATGCCCACACATAACTTGGTGGCGACGTGAGTGAAGTATCGTGGGATCAAGTTAAATATATACTTTTAGATGATTCATGATACAGGATCAAACATTTTCTGTACACAAAACCTAAATTTTCAAGGTAGCTAAAAAGGTATACAAAATTTGCCACTGATACTTTTACCGGTGTAGATACTATTTAAAAAAAAATCATTATTAATAGGTCACCTACTTTTATTTATTTAAAATTCATACACGAAAAAGTGGCATACCGTTTGCGTATGTTCAATAGTAAATTAAATAATAAGTTTAGAAAAGCAAAGTTTTACTAAACAAGTATAACTTAAATTTGACACAACTGCATTTCTTACAAGATTTGTTTATACCATTTTTTCGATTTTGTGTTAGTAGGTAATTATAAGCAAATATAAGCAGTACAGAGCTACAAATTTAACAAATTTTAGGATTTCCGTTATCTAGTAACCTAACACCTAACCTTGTTTATTTATATAATAACAGTTGGGTTTCATTTTTGTGAGTCGAAGTTATATAGGTATTAATTACAAAAATGAGTCTTGCAACTGAAAACAATTTAGAAAATCGTTCTGAAAACATTTTAAATGCCGTTCGAGAAGCATTTTCGAGCTTACTTCTTTAAAATCCAAGGAAAAATACGAGAAGGTATATGAAATATTTTGTAAGTGGAGGATGGCAAAAAACGCAATAAGAACTGATGAAAGTACAATGCTATATTTTAGTGTTTTTCGTACAATGTTTCGTGATTTTAAGGAAAATCTCTTAAACCATCCAGTTTATGGATATCCCAAATTGAAAAGTTCTATACAAATAAACAAAAATATGGATGTATCACAATATAACAAGCTACTTGCATTTTTAAAACCTCAAAATGCAAATAAATCAAATGTTTTGACTATAGAAAACGTTACTATGTTTCTAAAAAGGTTCCAGACGATAAATTCTTATTAGTGAAAGTGGTACTAATACCTATTTGATTTAATTGGGCATGCCGGCGTGCAGAATTGTGCAGTTTAACAGTTAAAGATATAGAAGACACGGGGAACATTTTGGTTATAACATTACATGATACCAAAACCAAAAAGAAACGTGTACTTACTTACCGTAGGATCAGAGTGCAACACATATGAAATTTATTATAAGTATTTACAGTTGAGATCCAAACAAGTAAAACACAATAGATTTTTTATTTACTATAATCACGGTGAGTGCACAATACAGCCAGTTGGCAAATCAACAGTTTTACAAAAATTCCCCAGAGTTGCAAAATACCTACTTAGTTGCATCCACTTACACTGGATTGCTAGGGCGTCTGCCACCTTCCTCGCTGACAGTGGAGCTGATATTTAAACACTTAAAAGACATGGTCATAACATTCCATGTTTATGCCAGATTGACATGTTTTCCTGAAAATCACGGGAAAACTTACCACTGTTGAATTTTCCTCGTAGTCAAATCTTGGGAGACTCGTCAAACTTAGGCTGCATGCAAAGTTACAGCTTGCTGGTAATCATTTTTTTTGTACGTGGGCCCGTGGACTATGAATTGGTGTTGACAATAATAAATTAGTATTAGTATTAGCAGCGTAGATTGGCGAGAGACACGTGTCTCAACGTTTCAAAATTCAGGAATGCAGATAGAGAATCATCATAGTTTTCAGAAAGAACAAGTAGAATTGAGTCAATTTTGTGCTTTCAAATTTGAATATTTTTAATACATGTGTTTTTTAACAGTGACGTTACTATATAATAAAGTGACATTTTCTTTCAGTAAAGTGCCAATTTAGTAAACGATTTATAGTTTAATTTAGTAAAATAACATATTATCAGTCAAAATGTGAAAAATATAGTTTACATTGTAAAAATCTGTAAAATTATGGGATAATATTTCGTGAATTTAGTCACATGGTGGCCGAACCAATATATTCGTCAATGTACCGAACACTTTATAGTTACGATATACTTCTTGACAAATTTCAGATTAAGAATAATATTTTAAGTTTTAAATGAAATTTAAGACTTGTTCTCATGTCAAAGTTGGGATACAAAATGAACAGTCTGCCGTCTCCCAGGGCTATAATTGAACTGTTTATATTGATGCAGAATGCTATCCGGGACGAAGTTTTCGATAATTGCCCTGGGAAATATAAATTGGCAGCAAATTTAAATTGAATTTTAAGTGGGGTGTAGACAATATTATTGACGGGAATGGAATGCTCGGAAAGATAATTGCCCAACTTTACGTCTTGTTTACTAATTAAACTAATTATGGAGGTTGCGAGACAAAGTTCCCTTTGACTTTGGAAAATTAAGAAAAGTTTATACTCTCTTAATAATAATTCCAGTCGTTAGGAAAAGAAAAACGGCATAGCAACGAAATACCTAGGAAATTAATATGCTTGTTAAGAATGTCTTTCTCAGATTATCGAAAACCCGCACACACATACACACAGATAACTAACTGTACAACAACTAACTGCTAGTGAGTAAAGCGAAACTAATTAGAACACTGAACAGTTAGTGTAGATCCCAACTTCATTATAACCAGATAATTACCTGAATACAAGCTGATTAGAAATTGTTATTAATAATAATAAGGGTCGAAAGGCTCACTTGCGGCCTGACAATAGATTTTACCCGCATCCTTAAGGACAGACAGTCGAGAACGAAAATTAAATTATCTGTTAAACACCATGAACAGTCGCTGGCAAATGGATCTTACGAATGAAATAATTCAGACGACCAAATTAATTACAACTGTGAGCGCCTATAATAGAAACTAGAAAACATATAAATAAAGACTTTTTTAAGACGCCTTTTAATGATTATATGACGTTCAGTGGACGTCCTTGGGGCAATAGTTTTCCGCACAATTGGAATATTCACCAACGGTCCATGAACGGACGTTTTGGACCAATAGACCAGACGAGATCTGTTTCAAAACACCCATATATGGATGTTTTATATAGTATCGCTAATTTTTGCTTGTAGGAAATGTAAAGCAAATTAAAAAGTAGTAATTATCAATACGTTAATAGGTCGATAATTAACAATAATTCGCATTTGAAAATGCGATATTTGGACTTTTCAACTCGCGAAACATCGATTCGAGTCGGCCGGAGGAGCCGAACTCTCGACCCCCACCACTACCTCCCATACATTTTTCGTGAATTTCATGCCCAGTCCAACAGTTTTAATCGACCCTTTATATGGGTAACACAAGGGAGCAAGTTTTGCAAATTTACTCCCGGAAAGTACTCGGAATGACAAAAGTATTTGTTTAAAAAACAGCCCTCCAGACCTCGTAGTTACGCCACAAATTCCGGTCAACTTTGGTTGACTATAACTGGACCAATTAACGAATCACCATTTTTTTAAAAAAGCGTCTTTTCGAGTACTTTTAAAGCATAATTTAAAAAAATATAATTATAATGAGTTTATAAAGTTATTCTATTTGTCTATAAGCGCAAAAATTACGCATATCTTTAAACAATTACCACGGCTCTCTTAATTAACGGATTTCAATTTTTTTGAACGCATTTTAAAGTTTGAGTGCCTTTTTTATGTGATAAAATTTTCAAGTATCTAGAAGTCTTAATTTAGGCTAAGTTACATTTGCAAAAATTTCATTTTTTTTTTAAATCTGGATTGCAAAATTATTACTCGAAAACTATCGGACTGATTTTAACAAAAATTGGTGTGATGTTTTATTATATCAAATATATATTTTTGGCCAAGTATGAAGATTCTACCTATAATATAAGTACTTCGCAAAAATATTGTAATTTTTTTCACCTTTTTTTGTTGTTTTTGCTTTAATTATGTCGTATTTTTTTATTTGAAAATAGGTGTATCATGTGTAAAATTTAATTAGGAATCTTTTTTCCTCGTCAATTTTTCTCTAAAATTAATAGTTTTTGAACTGTGTTGAAAAAAAGAGAGAAAAAATGGAATTTTTTCCAATTTTTTCACTATTTGTTTAATAATAAGTTTAGCACACGTTTTAAAGAACGCGCATAGTGAAATTATGATTTGCTGTATCATTTTGGAGTCATTAAAGCAAAAATTAGCGATACTAATAAAACATCTACACCAAAACAGATCCCGCCTGGTCTACAATTAGGGACATCCTAAGGGTGTCCTTACTATGTACTTTTAAAGCTGTTGGACTTATGCTAGATGTCCTTGGTACATCCATTTTCCACACAATTGAACGTCCTCATATTCATTAATAATTGTTCATGAATATAAATTTTTGGACTATTTGGGGACATCCTAAGGATATTTCTAAATGTATACATCATATACATACAGTGAACGCCCATTAATAGATAATACGATGTTCAATGGATGTCCGTTTAGAGACGTACGACAGACTTCTTTGTGATATCCGTTTGACACACAATTGAACATCCCTGGGACATTCATCAATGGTCGGTTTTTTAATTTGTTAACAATTTACAAGATATCCTGTAGAAGAAGACGATAAGATTCGTTCAAAGCGAAATATGTATAGCACAAGCTTAGAAAAAAAGGGTTCGTCGCTTAACCGCCTACTGCTATCTCCCCGCAATATGAGTGCATTGTGAATAAATAATAATGATAGACATAACATCACCTAAATATCTTTTCCGTGCCAATAGATTTTCTACTTCTGTTTAAAATTGCACGGTCATAATTGACTCTTGAGATTAATTATTGCAACTAATTAATTAAAATTAATTATATTTTCCAAATTGTATTTGTAAGTTAATACTTAAAACTTGTTCTTTCCACACATCAAATATGTGATATGACTGTTACAGGTTGACCATTAAGGCGGGGTGCCCAATGAACTTAGAAGATTTCCCCATGGACGTGCAGAGGTGCCCCTTAAAATTCGGATCATGTAAGTCATTCAATTATATACTTTTCCCTGCCATCACACTGCGTTGCATACTTACTTCGTTTTTCTCCGTTATCTTTAACATTAAGAAACTGTTTATTTTGTCTGACAAATTAGTTTGGAAACCATGTCGAAAGGGTACATCCTAATTTAGAGTTGATCAAATGATCACAATTGTTTTTACTGAAGAACGTGTTATTTCAAAAATCGAAACTCTTTTCATGATATTAAACGATCCTAAATATTAGTCATATAAGTGTTATCAGTGTAATAAAACACCTCCACGGGTTAACATGTGGCGAATTCCCTTAATAAATGAGGGGAATTACGGAACGGACGCACACGAATCCGACTTGACGTGGCGGAGGCTATCCAGAGCCTGCTTGATTGATACCAGTACACTAGTCATCGCCAACTAATCACTATCGACCTGTTATCTTTCTACGCGAGAATTGCTTGGTGTTCTGTTTATATCCGTTTCATCCTTCACTAAGGCTTTATCTAGCAGCCCTTGGCCACAATGTCACTATACAGGGTGTCTCATTTAAGCCGGATTCTTTCAGAGCTCCGGAAATATCAATAATACAAAAAGTCGTTTCAAATAAAAATTAATTTCTTGCAATTTTTCACTAAATCAATTTCTTTACATTTTAAAATTATTTTGTAATAAACAGAGTGTCCCATTTCTTCTGGGCTTTACCCAACTTTGGATTAATTATATTTTGGGCTCAAGATTATCATTTGAGCTACGTCATCTAAATTCACCCTGTATTACTCACATGGTGGTTGCATGAAGAGTATATCTATTTTTTAATCGTTATCACCATTTAGTTATTAGATAAAAATATTAATATTATTTTGTAGTAGGTATGTATTTTCGTTTCATATTATTTTAAGTATTATAATAATGAAAATACTTCGTTTTTAAAAAAGTTTTTCAACTCTCCCCGACTTATAACAGCCGAGAATATCCCTAAAGTGTTCCTGCAGAAAACTCGCGTACGAGGACGAGATATTCCATCAAGTTTCCCTAATATGCATGTTCTGCGGGTGACGCGTGTGTGGGGCGCGTTTTATGAACTAGCTCTCGTTCCTCGGTTAAGTGAAGCGCGCTCATAAAATCTTTTGAGAGGCGTTTAAAAGTTAATCTGAAATGCGGGCAAATCTGTCGTCGGTCTCCATTCAAGACCGGATTAGATTTTATTCGGTACGTTTCAATGTAACTAAGCCTGGCGCGAACGAAACAGTTACGATAGAACGGTTTATTAAATCTGTAAGTAATCAAAATGTGTCGTTTTTTTTTCTTTTGGACAGAGCATAATGTAAAAGAGGTAAAGTAAAGGGTGAGATAATGATTTGCAGTATTTTTTTTTTCATTTAATAAAGAACTGCAACATTGAAATAATTGAGTACATTTTCATTCAAATTGAGCATTTTGATAATTTGATTTATTTGTGATAATATTTGAACTAAAACTAGGTACTTTCACTGAAATATAGATACCCGTTAAATACATTCTGCAGATAAACTCGTATTTGGTACTCTTGTAGCTAAATCGGAGTAAATGTCCTCATTCTATGGTTGTCGTGCGTTGTCTTTGTCTATCCCCATCGTCCCCATCAGGTCATCTTGTGGCGTGATGCACCTATATGGCGTGTAGTGCTGGACGAGTGTCCGTTAACCCGTTTTTTTTTTTGTGAAAATTGTGTTTAAATGCAGTGGTTTGATTACAATAACACAGTCACACACAAAAAGAGTTGTCTATACTTTTCATGCGACATATGTTATCCGTAGTATTTTTGCCTCCTGATCACGAATCCGGTGTCAGAATTGAGCTATCACATCACAGGAACTTCCTAACCTCAAAAAACAGGTCAAAAATAGCAAAAATTCACGAAAAGGTGCTAGGAAAAATACAATTTTTTTTTCTATATTCAAATGTTCATTTATATGGTTAAAACCCCGCCAAATTTGGTATACGGGGGTTCTCGGGGTCGCTGATCACGGATCCGAGGTGAATTTTGCAAAATTCAAGACGGCGGATCCAAGATGGCCGATAAAATTTTCAAGAAATAGGTAACACATTTGCGCCAAATTTGGTATACGAGGGTTTTCGGGGTCACTGTTTATAAATGTCATACAGGGTGTTCACAAAATCGTACCAAATGATATTTTTTACAAGGCAAAATTTTTTTTTCAAATGGAACACCCTGTATTTTTAACGGGATGTTAAAGACATTCTCAAAATCTGCACTTTCTTAATAGGTGTTATCTATATCAGTTCCTCATATTTTACAATATTTTTAGCAATTCTTTTATTTTTTGTGAAATTATCCTAGAGAGGCATTGATATGGCAGTGAAACAAAAGAAATGTTTGTAACTATCTATAATTTTTCCTGTCATTAGCTTTGACTGTTGAAGAAGCGTTTTTCTATGATTCAAATAGTTATTCTTAATTAATTAATATTGTTTAAGTATATGGTTTTGTTGTTACTTGTTCGTAATGAATTTCTCAAACGAAGAACTTGTCGATATGATATTAGTGCTGGGAGAAGCTCAACAAAATTGTTTACTTGCAGCGCGTCTCTATCAAAAGAAATATCCATAGCTCCGACAACTTTCCAAAAAAGCCTTTAGTATTTTAATAGACTTTAATTCTACTGGAAATGTATCTTGATGAAATTTATCCTAACAAATGGATTGGTCGAGGTGAGTTACTGTCATGGCCTCCTAGATTGTGACCTTACACCACTTGACTTTTTTTTGTGGGGGTTTGTAAAAGACAGGGTATCTAGAGAGCCATTGTAACAATATCAAAATATATGTTACTGTTTGATTCAGGACTTTTCGATATATTTCAGTTTAAAACTATTTCTGAAAAAACAGGAGGGAAATTTATGTCTGACAGATCGCAGTGGCTATGGATGAGGCAAGCGGAACAAACAAATGACTTTGACACAAGTTTATTTATCATCATTAATTTATTTCCTATAACAAACTATTTTAACAAAGAAATAATGTTTAGTGAGGTCGAAAAATTTGAGGTTTGTTTTATGGTAATAATAAAAATCATTCTTAACTTTAACAAGTCTTAACTTTAACAGAATTTTAATATCTAATTAATAAAAATCAACTAAAACACAGATAGTCACAGATGCTCAATGTGGCCGCCATTATTATTGATGTACTTCGTATAATCCTCATTAATTTTCAGAATTGCATTTAGTATGAAATGGGAATTAAATTCACTTAAATTTTGTATACATTGATCAACTTTTTGTCTTAATTCATTAAAGTTTACACTAATTTCCTTATAAACCGCGTTTTTTAAGTAACCCCACAGAAAACTGTACAAGGGTGTAAGGTCTGAGCTATTTGAAGGCCATTGAATGATAAATAAACTTCCGTCTAAGTTATTTGTTTGTTCCCGCGCCTCGTCCATAGCTACTGCGATCCATCAGACATTTTCCCCCCTGTTTTTTCAAAAATAGTTTTAAACTGAAATATGTCGAAAAGTCCTGAATCAAACAGTAACATACATATTTTTGAGAAGAGAAAAATTTAACGAAAAAATTTTTTCTTTAATTTAGTGACTTCCATTATTCAATTGTTTTTTCTAATACTGTATTATAAAAATTCATAAACTACCTACTGTAGGTATTATGGAAAATTCATAAGCTAAAACTTTTATATTAAAAACTTTTTTGTAATTTCAATAATAAACTCACAATATGTTCAGATGATAGTGAGGTACATTATTTATTTGAATTTTTTTGATAGGACTCTTGAAAAGTTATCGGGGGAGTTTGGGGCACCCTGTGTAATAGTGCTTTAGTAATTCCTACATTTCAATAGGTACATTTTTATTTATTCCTGTTGTGTCGTTTCGACTAAAAATCTTTATATCATTTCGATCCTAATAGCTCGTCCAAGTCCCAAACTGTACTCGTTCTGCTGCCCCCGTCACAAATTTGTCGCCTCTTTGTTCACTCCACGGTTGCCCAAATTATTCCAACTCCAGCCGAAATCACTCTCACGTGCGTATTTGTCTATTAAACCGATCCCTCGGAACCCGACATGCGTTAGATGGGGATTCCTGGGAAATAGTTGGAAAACCCCATTCGATCGGGGCAGATAAAAATCGGTTGTCGCCCAAGCGTGAAACGCCTCGTGCTGCAGACAGACATCTAGTTACGAATTTCCCTTCTACCCTCCTTTCGGGTTTATTAGACGTCCTGGCTATGAGTCCCGATTCTAAACTGCCTTATCAGGACTCTGGTTAGCAAAAGGACTGGATTAAAATCAGTGTTTATGAAAATTTAAGTACGCGCATTCAGGAGAGCTAGTGAATAGCAGCGATTTCGTCGGAAATCCTGGGAACCAAGCGCAGCTTTTTAATTATGAGTACGTCTACTATTTATTTTAAAGTTGTTACTGGAAAATTTAGTAGCATTGCACGCGTGACTGACTAAATTAAATACATGATCCTTTAGGAAGTGGGTTTTTAATTTTGAGGAGCTGTAGCTGTAAAATAATGTGTTTCACAAAAATCGCTAATAAAGGCTTTAGTAATTGACTTATTTACATTTAAAGGTAATGATATTTCCGTGCCTGTTCTGTAATTATTAAATCAAACATTCGTACTACCGCGCGAAAATATGGCTTGCTACCATTTCTAATGGTCGTTAGCCAGTGACCTTTGGCGTCCGGTTATTGACCTTTGGCATAAATCATTAACGTTTGACTTGTGAAGAATGTTTGTTCATCGTGAGGCTACTTCAACATATTTTAAAACCCCTTTGATCCACTTTAATTGAAACCATCTCAATGTGCTTTAACATATTTTACAGCTGTTTTTAAGTGTTTCTATGCATTCTGAAATTATGATTATCTACAACTGCCTGCACTGTAAAACAATTTTACTCAAATTTCACTCAATTTTACCCAATAATGTATCAATATCTGACCACACACGATTGAGTGAAATGTTCACTCTATTAGTATGAGTATAGTCCTTCCGAAGTCAGTTGAATATGCAAAAAAACGTCTGGTAATAAAATTTAATGAATTTCATAGGCGTCCCTAAAAAAATTTTCTGGTAAAGGTTAAATTTTCTGTTAAAGGTAAATTATAATAATTTGTATATATTGTGTAGAAAATTTCTATTATATGTTCATTTGTTCACATATTTTAATTATTTATGTTCTCAAACAATTTTATTATATTGGTGGTAAATTTTGTTTTGTTCCGTTTCAAAAGGTCTCCAAAGTGCCATGTTTGTGATAATATTAGTAAACAAAATATCCCTCTTATTTCTCCCTTTCGCAATTTAATATGAATGATTGATAGGAGGTGCCTATAATAAATTAAAATTGCCTGATTCACACCAAATTCCGCACTGCAGCACTGCACTGCTGGGCAATGGACCACTTGTCGCCTGCTGAGATTTATTGCCAGAAGCCCAATACAGTTGTGTTACAATTCGTTTGCCCGCGCTCGCATTCCTCAACTGGTCATATACATTTCTACCACCTGCACGTTTAGTTCGACCAGATATGGGTATGGGTAAATAAATATGGGAACAAGTTTTTCAAATATTTCAATACCGAGTTGCTGCTTAACGACTGAGCCTGGTACATGCCTAGAAATTATAGGTTCTTCAATAGGCCCATTCAGTGATGTTTAATTTTAAACTTTTTCTTTCATTTTCTGATAGTATTTAACCACCTAATTATATCTTAAAAAAAATTAGGTCAATAGGATTAATAAGTGATATATTTAATTCTGAATTTGTAAGACCTTTAAAAAGGTCAACACTGCGAGAGAACAGGTAATGACGTCACGATACCGGCCACTCGCCAGCAGTCGGAGAGATAAATCTCATTTTATACGGCTTCTAAGAAAGAGACGACAGTCTGTTTTCGGCTGCCTCGTCTAAACTGATGTGTAGATATTTGCTATACTTTTACCTATATNTTGAATATGCAAAAAAACGTCTGGTAATAAAATTTAATGAATTTCATAGGCGTCCCTAAAAAAATTTTCTGCCAAAGGTTAAATTTTCTGTTAAAGGAAAATTATAATAATTTGTATATATTGTGTAGAAAATTTCTATTATATGTTCATTTGACCAACAACATATTTTAATTATTTATGTCCTCAAACAATTTTATTATATTGGTGGTAAATTTTGTTTTGTTCCGTTTCAAAAGGTCTCCAAAATTTAATATGACTTCGAAAAAACTATACAACTGAGTGAAACTATTGCATCAGAAATGAGTGACTTTTTCTCATCTGAGTTACTGCTAACTATCAATTTAGTGACTTTTGACTCTATTCTGAGTATATAAAACCAATATAGAGTTGACTTTTTCTCTAATATAATTTAAATTTAACTATTATTGAGTAATTTTTTACTCACACTTGGTTCATATTCTCTTTAAATTTTAATTTAAATATCATTGTAAATTATAAATAACAATTTTACTATCCGTTTATTTAACCAAATATTAATCGAGACTTAATGTTCTGAAAAACACTAGCATAAATTCAAGGCCTAATAGAATTTCAAAAAATATTTTAATTTGTTCCTATGGACCATGGGCGTATCTTTTTCCGTTTTCAAGATACAGGGCATTCAAAATAATTTTTTAGAATCTAGTGTCGACCCTATCTTCCACAAAATTCGACCGAATGAACTGAAATTTTGTGGGATTTCTGGGGATGCTAAATGTTCTGGAGTTAATAATTCTTGGCTAAATTATACAGAGCGTTCAGTGCAGTACTCCACGGCAACATTTTAGGTCCTAACTTTTTTTAGGTTAATCTTATTGCCCCTTTTGTCACTTGCTGTTATGGCAAATTTTATTTTAAACAAAAAAGGTGCTCTTTTAAGAAGTGCCAAATTTGTCCATTTTCGAGAAAAACCAGGCATAGTGCGCCAAAGTTAAGCTCCTAACAAATTTTTGTCAATTGCTGGAAAAAAAGCAAAATGAAAATCCGAATTTTCTACGTTCTATTCTTTTCACGGACGAAGCAACTTTCACTCGAACAGAAGTGTTTAATACTCATAATGAGCATCAGTGGGCCAAAGAAAATCCTAGGGCCAAACAAGAGTACCATTTTCAACAATCATACCTAAATATTTGGGCTGCCAGGATGGGGAATCTGTTCATAGGATAGGTACCACATTCTGGATGGAAATTTAAATGGCACCAAGTATTTAGATTTTTTAAGAAATAGTCTGTTCTGTTCTGTTCGTAGTGAAGATGATTTTCCACTATTAGCAAGAAATAATTATTATTTCATGCATGATGACGCTTCACCACATTCTACTCGAGTATGCAGAGCATGGCTTCATGGAAATTTTCCTGAGCGATGGATTGGTCGAAGTGCAGATACTCCAATTCATTGGCCTCAAAGGTCACCAGACCTTAATCCCCTTGATTCTGTAGTTTGGAGCTATGCCAAACAAAAAGTATATGAAACAGAAATAAATTCAACAGAACATTTGAGACAAACAATTGTTGATGTTTTCAACCATCCAAAAGATGTGTCAGAACCTTTGAAAAATACACCCTGTATTGTCTTTTATTATTGTAATTAAATCGCTGCATTTAAATACAATTTTCATTAGAATAACCAGATAAACCGATACTTGTCCAACCCTAAAGCACATCATACGCCATACTGACATCCACCACCCCACGGTCACGAGATAACCTAATGGGACGATGGGAACAGACAAAGACAATGCATCTGGATATGAAAAAGGGTGGGATCACTGAGTAATGACGATATTTACTCTGATTTAGGTACAAGTGCACCAAATACGAGAATACGTGAAAAATGTATTTAAGGAGTACCTATATTTGAGTGAAAGTACTCAGTTTTAGTTTAAATATAATCACAAATGAATAAAATGATCAAAATGCCCAATATCGAGTGAAAATGTCCGAATCTTTATTGCTTTCACTCACACCAATTTTTTTATAGTGTACGTTCTCTGGTTAACGGAATACACATACATAATATTCCAAATGTCTAAATTACCCTTACTTAATCAGATTTTTTTTTCAGTCGGTTACACAAACAAAGACGTGATATACAAGTGGAAGGAGGACAGGCAGGTGGCTATCGCTGAGGACATGAAGCTGTCCCAGTTCGACCTGATCGCCACTCCAGCAGCTAACCACACGGACAACATGCCTAATGCCGATGCCAAATCAGGTGTCTGCTCTATTTTCCACAGCCCTCCGCATCTTAGTAAGACACACTTACGCTTACCGCTTTTTCTGTCACTTTTCCACGGCACTATTCTACTTAAAAAAAACAAAATTTCCGTGCAGAACACCCATACACTTTCATCCAAAAATATTCTACACATTAACATACCAGAGTTCCAAAATTATAAGTCATAAATAAATGAAACCACAATCTTTACAAGTTCTTATTCTGATAATATAATTTTATATATTCCTTGCGGGGAAATTGTTATGTTCAGCTTGCCCGCGCGCACTTCATTCTGTTGTTACAGTAGCCTATTTCTATCTTTGCTTATCGTACACAAAGAGAGACGACCAGGACTGTATAGTTTCATCTCTGAATATACATTCAGTTTCCAACTTAGATGTTTCCTTTCGTGTCATATGCGTGCAAGTGGAGAAAATTAATTATTTTCTCAATTTAATTATATCAATGTGTTTTTAAAAACAGAATCGTGGGCAATCTGTTAAACCAGTGTAGTCGTAAAAACCAAGAAAGTGAAAAATTCTCACATTAAAGATTTATTACATTAAAGATTTGTTGTTCTATTTATTAAAATTTCTCTAAAATGATACGTCTATGGAATTACATCTGCACGCCTTACCCATCGCATGGATCTACATATTGAGAGTAAGTCACTACCTATAATTTTGAGACTCATAAACTCATAAAAAATGCCAAGGACGTAAGGTGGCCTACTTTCAGCCTTATAAGAAGCGCATCTTAAAATGTCTCTTTCGCTTAAAAGTTCGTATGGGGGTTGGAGAGGGTGAGTAGACACTTCTTAAGGATCTATAACAAGTTATCGATCATTCACTAAATTTAAAACTGAAAGGTCATCCAATCTAAGTAAAGAGAGATGTATCCATATCCTTTCAGTGTAGTAAATTTTATTTATTACAGCTTTTTTCCATCAAATAGAAGAAAAAATTCATCAACAATTCCTGTATACGTATGTTCATATACAAGAAAATGAATCAACTAGACATTTACCATTTATTTAACCAACTGCAATAACTGCTTTAATACCTATTTTTTAAATAGTTTGGTTAAAAAAAAATTTCAAGAGTTAACATGCATTTTTGCCATATATTGTAATAAATTTGATTATAGTTTTGGTAGGTTTTCTCCTTGTTTACTTGGATAAACACACCAGGTATGTATTTAAAATGGTCAACATTGTGAATATGACATCCTTCCGCATACGAATAAGGCGTAATCAATAAAAGAGATAAAATACCGTGCTTTCATAGAAAAACCGGAATCATTTTTCACGTTTTGTAATCCCACCCCTTCCCGAATCCCTGGGATACGTGCACGTAAATTGATGAATTTAAGGGAAACCTTAATTCTCTCTGACAAGGAAGTCGCTTAAGTAAATAATCTTTGAATAAGCTTTGAATAGGATTACGCGATATAATATCTGCAGTTGCGCAAGATAGAATGCTGCAGCATATGGGAAACATTTGCAACATATAAAATTTTTAAGGATAACCCCATCTTGTTATAATAAACTACGAGTGTAAAAAAGGTATAAACAAATATTGATGTGTGATAAAAAGGTGTGAACATAGAGAATTGCTAAAATTGGGAGGGAATGAGGTATATTCCCTCTCTCATTAAAGAATCACTATACTCCAGTTCCAAAATAATAGGCAGTGACTGATTTTTAATGTGTAGGAACCGTGGGAATGCGCTTCCATAGGCGTATCATTTTAAACAGTTCAAAAAATTGTCGGTTTTGGTGAAAATTAAATTATCTCTAAATTTACTCCTAGGCAGACAATTTTTACTTATACCAAGGTACGTGTTCATTAAAACTGTCCCGTAGGCAAAGATGGCCTATTACTACCAGGGTATCCTTTTTTCTTTTTGTATTATAGATTGCAGCTTACGCAAACTGGAAAGTGGCGAAAAGTTTACTTATGAAATGTTTATAGAAGGCGACACAAAATCAAGAAACTTTGCTGAAAAAATGAAGCGCACACAGAAAAAGACAGTATATTATAACCATATCACTAGTTACTGAAGTCGCTGTTACTGTCACTAACACTAGCACTGCTGTCGGCTAAAGGTATGACTAGTTGTTTTGTTATAAGTACAATACTTTCATGCAAACCGTATTTCAAAGAATGTGCAATATAAGTCCGTTCATCTCTTGAGATTGCAGTTTAAATTTTTAATATTGGAATACTCTGTTTATCAGATTAGCCACTAGCACCTGCATACTATTCTATTTTTAATAACGCTCATTGGAATAATTAAAGTGAGAAAATAATAACATATCGTTCCCACTTATACACTTATGACACGCACTCACATGCCTCAACTGGGAACTGAGACAAATCAAGAAATAGTGAAAATTGTGATTTGATTTAGTTATAACCCTACTGCTTAAGATTTTATCACTGGACTACAATTTTGTCCAATCTAACAGGTGGACAACACAAAAAGTTATTGTTGCCATACCTAAACAACTTTTATTAATATCAATTTTCCGATCAAAACAAATTTGTTATTACAAATAAATTTCCAAGGTTGTAAATATCATTCTTTGCAGCTGGGATTTTGAAAAAATATTGGCGATTGTTTCTGCATCTTTAACAGTTTTAATCCTCCACAGACAATGACAATAACAATTATTTGATTTTTTTTGTCGAGGGTATTCGATACTTTCTAATGTTACAAGACTAAAAACCCAACCGCTGCAAGCTCTGCGATTGCATTGTTGCAGAGTATTACTTTTTTCTTGATGAAAAATCCTGACCAACTTTGCAACTGCTATACATAAGCAATAACAATAAATTTGTTCCCGGAGCAGATCTGAAAACATGCAACGATTATTTTCATGTAAACTTATATGCACCAACTTTCAGTCGTTCGTGATATTTTTTGGACAAATTGGGCGTGCCACGGTGATAATAAATCTCATAAACCGATTTTAAACCGATCGTCGTCTGGACGACCAACTTTTACAAGATTTATTGGCCGACATAAATATTAATTCGACCGAGGACTTATTGGCAAACGTAAATGTATTTTCTGGGACAGAGCACGTGCTCTAGAGAGCGTCAAACCCAGTGACGACGAAGCGTAAGTGAGATCGACTATATGGCATTTTGTCACCACTAAAGCGCGTTGAAGCGTATGTAAGAATCGGCGTTTACACAGTAAACTGTACCGTTATTTAAAATATATACTTATACTCAAAGTTCACCCTGTATAATTGTTTTACACCAAACTGTATTTTTTGACATATGATTTACTTTAGTTACTACTTATTTTGCTTATTTCTGCTCTCCACCACTTTACTTACTACTGCTTTTTACTTACTAGTGTTCTTTACTTAGTTCTGCTCTTTACTTACTACTGCTCTTTATTTAGTACTGCTCCTTACTTCCTACTGCTCTTTACTTACTACCGCTCTTGACTTAGTACTGTTTTTTACTTACTACTGCTCTTCATATTAAAATTAAACTGCTGCGTTTACCGATACGGTTAAAGAATATTGCCAAAAAAACGCAAAAATAGTCAAAAACTAATATAAATGTTTTGTCTATGAGAGTGATTTTTAACTAATGTAATAGATGTCTCTCAGTCACTCCCGCGAATACACACTGGATGACCAAAATAATCTATTTGGGACAAATGTTACAACCGAAACTAGTTCAAACTAACTGTATTAGCTTAGCAAATCCGCAATTTTGAACTATCGACAGTCGAACTAGTTTAGTTATATCGGTGCGCCTTTGATAATCTATATGTATTTGATATATTGATTCGGCAAATTGCCTCTAGTTCGCAATTTCCTCAAACAGACAAATAGCGGGGCCCGCGCGATCTAATTCGCCCATAATTATTAGACGTAGGAAATTTGGGTGACATACCAGGGACGGACTTGAAAACTAAATGTAATTACGACGGCGACAATGACATTTACAGAGCATCGTCCAGTATTTTATATCAGTACTATTTTACCACGTTCAACTAAAAATAAAAAGTGATATAATCAGTTGCTGTAATGAAATAAAAAAAAATGTCAAGCTAAAACCCTGTTTAGTAATTATTTGTTTTATAATCGTAATGAAACATAAGCACCACACGAAGGTTTACTGGGTGGGATTTCCAAGAGCCCCGCGCTGTAACGTGGAGTCAACTTGTTTGAGGAATACTATTTCCAAAAGGGTTTACACCATAAGCCTAAACTAATTTGGACGGATAATGAGGGGAGCCTCTCTTTAAGACCGGCTACTGGCATCACAGCTATACGTTCACTAGAACCCATGAGAACGGCGGGCCTTTGTAGTTTGATATTTGGGTTGGGATGTCACAAAAACCGACATACGATATCTAAGATACATAACGACGTATCCATAAACTAAGATACATTTTAATTAAATATAATGGGCAAAAGGAAAACGAAATGTGGTTTTAAATCAGGTCATTTACTGACGTATTATCGGTTTTGCGTTCTTACAAATCTTTTGTATAGGGTCTATTATTGACTCTTCAAAATAGGGACCCAAACTGAGAGGGTCATCTTTATTTATAGTGTTGGGTGCTACGTAGATAAAATTTGTAATTTTTGCGTCGAATTTAGAATTTTAACAAGCAGCACAAAAAAGTTTTGTTATATTTGAAAAAAATATATTTCTTGCGCTTTTATTGTTAAAAATAATTTCAATTACTTATAATAAGTGTCCGGAAACTATGACTAAAACAATTAGAAAGTGATTCAGTGTGAAATTACTTTTCTGCAAAACCACGAATAAAGAAGTCAAATTTTTTGTCAACAAGGGTCAGATAAAGCTTTTAGAATTTCTATAACTTTTTTGTAAATGCAGATTGTTATTAATAATAATTACATTCAATTTAAAAAATTGTTTGACAAAAAAACTTATGGCAAAATTTTCATTAAGAAAATGAACTTTAAGGAAAATAAGTAAAACTGTACAAAACCATTATTTGTTTAAAGATCTAAATTCGAAGCAAATATTTTTTATGTCATACCTTATACTTTTTATAAATAAACTCGCCTCTCAAGCTTTACTGTTATTTACGATTTAAGCAGCAATTTAGAAGTTCCTGCACCTGTGATCCCTATAACATCAGTATTATCAAATTATATTGGTGGAAATGTAAGAAATCCGTAGCTGCTTTTTATATAATTCTATAATTTCCAGCACAATATTCAATGCTTCTAGTCAGTTTCCATCTACAGAGGCATATGGGAAATTTTTTAATACAAGTATACGGGCCCTGTGTTTTACTGGTGGTTTTGTCCTGGGTTTCCTTTTGGCTGAACAGAGAAGCAACCGCTGACAGGGTTTCTTTAGGTAAGATCCTTAATAATGTAAAAATATAAATTAAATAACCGTAGTGGTGGATCAAAAGTGTGCAGACCCGAACAAATAATACCTTATATGCCATTTTCCTTTACGTATTTCCTACTGTTCTATACTCAATTAAGTAAAGTTAAAAAAAATGTTTCATTGTATCATCACATTTTGCGTACTATATCTCAGTAGGCGTTGACTCTTGTATATAGGTAAGTTGGGCTTGTTTTGATCCATTTTGTGGTCGAGAGGTGTCCCAACATTTCAGGGATCAATGTTTTTGTAAAATTTTTGAGAAACGTATGTTTAAACGAATAACATTCATTTTAGGAATCACAACAGTACTGACGATGACTTTTTTGGGACTAGAAGCTAGAACAGACCTTCCAAAAGTGCCCTATCCCACTGCCTTGGATTTTTTCGTTTTTCTGTCCTTTTCTTTCATCTTCGCTACTATTATTCAGGTAGGATGAAGACAGAACATTGTTAAAAAAACTGAAATAATCGTAGTTTGCAGTAGTTCATTATTTCACCAAGTACGGTTCAGGAGAGTGTTACTTTAGTACTGACATAAGCTCTGAATCGGACAGCAGTGACGATGAAGAATGGACATCTATAGAAAGAAAAGAGTATATACCGACATCAGCGGTAAGTTTTTTTGACACATTCCCACGATTGTGCTTTGAAGAGGGAAAAGTTTCTTATTTGTAAATTGATTTCCTGATATAATTACGAGAATCATTTGTTTCCCGAAGTCAATTTTTTTACAGCTTTTTTGGAATTACTAACAATATCTCTTGATGACACTTTTCCATAGGTAGCTCTGATAATTTGCTTGATGTCATTTTAAAATTTTTCAAAAAATTAAATGGTGACATTTTCTCACAAATTTATAAACAAAAAAGTTTTTTCTCTTCAAAATACAGTCGTAGAGTACATTAGAAATATTTTAAATACATATAATTTCAGTTACAAGCAACTGTGAATACATCAAATTGAAAATATTTGTTGCATAACCTTATAGACAATTTTTATAGCTTACGCAACCAACATTACAGATTTATACATTTATGATTGCCAATACCATTTCAATTCATAAGATTGTAAAATATTTTTTGTCAATTCTTTCAATCTACTTTCTTCAGGTACCTGAATCAAACTCGAGGAAGACCAGTCCGTCGCCGTCCCCATTCCGGATTGCCAAAGACCCCCAGGTGGTGGAAGTGATACCCTTATCAGCGTGTTCCATTCCAGTACCTCAAAGGAGGTCGTCTCAACCGTGGACCAGTTTGTCGTGCATAGGCCGTCCAAATTCGCAAACCTCGTTTATCGCCCCCAGTGCGATTATAACTAATCAGAGGATAAGCTCACACAACCACAGTCAACATCGTAAAAAGAAGAAGAGAGCACCTCGGTTCAATTCCGTCTCCAAGATAGACAGGGCGTCTAGAGTTGTTTTTCCACTACTCTTTGTCACTATTAACTTGTTTTACTGGTACTGCTATCTGTACAGAACTAACAGAATCGCCTACAAATAGATATATTCGTTTGTGTAATAGTGTAAACAATATGGACATCTTGTAAGAAAATCCCAAATTGTTTTAATTTTTCACTACAAGTGTGTCATAAAATGGTTTTGTTAGAATCACAATACTGAAAAAAATGAACTAACTAACTATGACGGTGTAGTGTTTATACAATATCATTTTTATTTTCCGTTTATTTAAAAATAATTTTCTAATAAATAAGTTCTAAAAACCAATAAAAAATTATTACTTAGTGTGTGTCTATTGCAAAAACACCAAACCAAACACAGGCACAGGGTATTAAAATAGCTAAATGTGTAAATTTTTAAGAAGTTACAGGTAAACCAAATTAATTTGAGCCCTGAGGGTAGGATGTGCAGTGGTAAAGTAGTGGAGTGGGGAGGATATGTACCTTTATTATGGATTACTTGCTGCATGCATTTCCATCTGAGTCTACATTAGATGACTTGCGCATATCAGGGCTGAACTGAAATTTGTCCAGTTGTGTATGTATGTACCCAAAATATGATAAAATTAATTAAAAATTTGTATGTCCAGTAAAATATTTTACAATAAAATTAGATCTTTCTACATCCTTTAGTTTAATGTTCCTACATCCAATCAATAATTTATTTCAAAATCAACTTTGTTTTGATTACTATTAAGTTAAAAGACGTATGTATACATAATTCAAATTACTAAATATATGAATTAACATGTACATTTTAAGATAAATATAAAGCTTATGCAACCAGTAATTCGATTTTATTGTATTTATGGTTGTCTGTAGCTCTAAAAGCTGAATGATTTTTTTACTGAAATTTGTTAGGTTTTTTAATAGTGACATTTCTCGAAAATTGTAATGACCATATTTTTACAATAAAGTGTGATAACATATAAATTTTTTTCATAATTAATTAATAATTGATGCTGTAATATAATACTGTATGGTAAAAGTTCAGGCAACCAGTAATTCCATTTCAGTGTATTTATAATTGCCTACAGTTCTAACAGAATAAAAAACATTTAATATTATGTATTTCTTACTTCTTTCATTCCATTTAGTAAATATACAAATTAAATTCAGGCCAATTTTACTTCTTGAAAATACAAGTACTCATCAAGAAAAAACATATTTTTTTAAAATCAATGTTTCACAACATGCTGGACATTGACAATATGTTTAGAAAGGAATTTCAGCAATAAAAGTAAAACAACTGTTAACAGATTTTTATAACATAATTCAATTTGAGAGAAAAGTGACTTAATGCATTTAATGACGTCAATTGAAGTAGTAACTTTTAAAAAAACACAAAACTTACAAAAATGCTTGTTTGACTCCAAATAACAGGAAAATTAAATTATATTGTACTCTTTTAAAGTTGTAGCTCCAGTTCAACAAGAAAAAAAATCCATCATTACTACATACTTATTTTAATTATAGATTTATACATATTACTTGGCTTTCAACAGTGCTAAACCTTTAGGTTTTAATTTTTTACCAAGTATTTCATTCTTTTTGTTTTCTTCTGCAATCCGTAACTGCTTGTGCCTTTCTACAGCGAAATCAATTTCCCCTGTGAATTTTATAATGTCCTGGAGAAGTTCCTTTTGTTTTAAAATTCTCGTTTTCTGGTGCATCCCATATGGTGTTAGTCTACCATCCAGGAAAGTGTAATCGGGACCATCGGTCAACATGCCACAAGTGTTAGGGTTTAAAGGCAATCCTCGTTCCTTCCTCCATTTTTGAATTAGTGACAGAGGCGTTGTCATACTTAGGGATCTAATGCCTAATTTTAAAGCAGGAGAATCTGGAAAAATCACGCAACAATTAGTCTTATTTTGTTTATAGACATTTGCCAAAAATAATTACAAAGCATTATACTATTTTAATAAAAATAGATAACTAAAAAAAATAGAACTATCATAGGTATAATCTTACATAGACTGACAATCCTGTGCTGCATCATACCGGACCAATGTGTTTAAAGTATACAGTAATAAATAATTAATAAAATACAGATTTAAACAATTTCCAATTAATATCTCAAAAGTCCATTTGAAATTTGAGGTTATATTCGTCTTCTTCTTCAACATTCAGTTACTGACTATTTTAGGGATGTATTCGCGAAATACCGTTTTCGCTAAAATCTACCTGTTTTTATTATCGATGTTTGATCTAGACTTAAAAGAAAATAAAATTTGTTTTTTTTTAGAATTGTATTAAGAGTTATTTGTTTCCGGTGTCTTATTATTTTGTTTGCTAATTTATGCATTGTTATCACAAAACCAATAAAATAACCTACCTATATTTTTGTTTTGTTAAAAATCATTAAAAAACCAAACATTAATGTTCTATCATCACAAAAAACTAGAACCTCTATTGAAATGATTGAAATTTTTTAGACAAAAATATTTAAACGTTTCGGAGACATTTCTATATAACTCAAATTTGGTAAACTCAATATCAAGTTTAACCTCGGATTGAATTAAAATTGAATAATTACCTTTTGTGATTTATTACACTGACAAATCAGTGAAAATAAAAAAAAAAAAAGTAAAGAAAAATTTCCAAGCAATAGATTGAACCAAAACTGAAATAAAATCATTTACAAAATTAGGTAAAAATTGTAAAGGAATTTAGCTGCGTTTAGTTGATGAATGAAAATGAAAACAATACACGTGCGGCAGGAAAACCAAGATCAAAAGCATGGGGTAATGTACTAGCAGGATAATCGATAATCTTTCACCTGCAAATGGGGAGATGCCTCAAACGCCACTGGCCACACAAGTCATGTGAATATTCAAAATATATTCCGATTGTATATGCGATTTCATACCATAGAAATGAAGAAAAATAATCTCAGCAGGTGTTTTAGAGAATATGGTTTCCTTCATTTATTGTCCAAGATTTCACCTATCTATGCCTATCAGTAAGGAAAGTAAAATACTGTAAAAAAAATATAATTATTTATTTAGTATAGCGGAAAACGCTCAAAATCTCACAAAATGATCCCTTCCCCACTGGTTCTCTGGCTCGTTTTACTGTTATCTTCTTAAATAAGGCTACTAAGTTTTACACATTTATTTTCGGCTTAGTAATAATTAAAATGTAGTATTGAACTTATTACTTATACATATACCTACAGTGTGAACTATTTCATATGGAAATACCCTCGTAGAAAAAGTATTGACCGATAATTAGGATTAATTTTTGAAAGATGGAACGCCAAATTTGACAAAAATGGGTTAGTGATTTTTTTTATTTAAAATCCTACTACACAAAATCAAAATCTTAAATTCAATTTTTTGGTTTGGAACTGCACATTTAAGAAAAACACATTAGTGAGCATTTTATTCGTTTAATATATTTATGTTATAGTATCTATATATGGGTGTTTCCAGTTGATCACACTTAATAGTATTTCAAACAGGAACTCTTTTTATTTTTCCCTGATCGTTTGAATTATGCATTTTATTCAAATGTGAACCAACAGATGGCATTAAAATCACAAAATCGAGAAAAATCCACTTTTTTGTTATTTCCCTGCAGTCCCTGCACCCTACAACTAATTACCTAAAACAATGTATAGTTAAAACATAAAACATTAAAATCCAAAACTACCAAAATTCAATTTACTATCAGCAACCTTTTAGGTGAGAGTATTTCCTAAAAATAACGCACCGATGTAAATGAGAGACATAAAATCCACCTACACATGCAGGCCACATGGGGACTACCTCTAGAAAAAAAAATACACGACCGTAACTTACCGCAACCTGCGGCGCTAACGACGTCCCTCCCCTCCGAATTTGCGCCGTACGACGCGTAGTAAACCCACCCTTACACGCCAAAACCCTGGAGCCTCTCCCCTACCCTACGATTTCTGCATCGCTATGTCGTTGACTCCGGTGCGGCGCACGACATGAAAGAGATTCGTGCATCAGTGGTGTGTACACAAAGCTCAAAGGAACACCGACACTGGGCCAGAGCAAACTCTCGAGCGTAGTCGTGATGTAGTGGATGTTATTCGGGCCCGCAGGATTACCCGAACTGGCGCTATGTGACTGGAATATGTGACAGTTTCTCGTCGAGCGGTGTTTTTCGCGATCGCAGGGGGCCATGGGAGACGACAGCTCTCCGGACCTGAGCCTGAAGCTCAGGAGGGGCTCCAGCGATTCCAGGGATTCCTTCTACATGGACTTCGACAGGGGCATCGACTCGGACATCGACGAGATGGCCACCACATCGGGGGCGGAGCACGGGGACACCACGGCGGAGACCACGGCTACCCCCACGGCTCTGGGCCAGGGGAAGGTCGAGGGTGCGAGGTAAAGTTTGGGTTTTTTTTCTTAAAAAAGGTAAATCTAGTTTTATACTGAAGTTTAAATATTTAAATTTAAATTTATATTAAAATACTGGAAATGTTTCTAAATAAAGCTTATAGGCCGGGAAATATAGAGTTGGATGCTACTTTTTGTTTCGGCAAGCTGAATTTATCACTATAGATGCTGAATATTATGTACAATAACATATTAGTTTCCACAGTCATAAAAATGGGGGGAAGATTGTTTACAGATTAATTGTATAATTTTTACGTAAATTCACGTTTTTCGCTTATAACTTTTTTTCGTTCATTTCCACGAGAAAACAGTAAAGTAATGTTTTTTTGTCTTCAAAAGACCTACAAAACTAGCTCTCGTGCGTCAAAAAATATTGATTTGACCAAAAGTTATAAACGGAAGAAGTTTATTTATTTCTTTTGAATTAAACATTTATAAACTGCGTTATTATTATCAGAACGTTTTGGCATCGCATCCTCTCATTCTTTATCACTGTCTAATAACTCACACACGAAATCTGGAATCGGTAAGTTGAATAGTTTACAAGTTATGGCCTTATAAACAAATTAACTAATTATTAGTCTGGACGATCACGAGGATTTTCCACAATCGCACTGATGTTTTTCATGGTCAATGTATTATTATGGAAATCTATCTATTTTTTTCATTTCAAATTTGCAACCTGGAATTTTTTTTATATTTTAGCTTTAGTTAGGTGCAAAATGAAATATACGACGTACGAGCATGATATAGTTATATATTATTACACATTCGGAAAGCTTATGAAAAGATCTTTAAGCTAAAAAAAAATCGTCAAGATTCGTTGAAAAACAACGGAGTTACAGACTGCCAATATATTATTTTCAAGCGAATTTCGCTTATTTAACGGCAGGACTATGAATATTATCGTCATTTTCGCTTCGCTTCCCCCACCCTTCCGCCGCGCCACGGCACGCCGAAAATCAAGCGACCTACTGACTTGACAATTTTTCTTATGCACTTTGGTCTTTTGAATACGAAAAAAAACTTTACTGCTTTCTCGTGGAAATAAACGGAAAAAAAGTTATAAGCGAAAAATGTATTTACGTAAAAATTATACATTTAACCACCCTGTAAACAATCTTCCCCCCATTTTTATGACTGTGGAAACTAATGTTATAGTACATAATATTTAGCATCTATAGTGATAAATTCAGCTTGCGGAAACAAAAAGTTCATTTTCCAGCTTATTTTCCTGGCCTATTAGTCTTACATTACTGTTTTTCATCTATAAAACTTATGAAAATCTTAAGAAAAATCATGGAACAAGATATATTAAGATAGAATTAATAATAAACACGGACAAGAATTATCATAATTGTACCTTTTAATAATGATTTATTATAGAAAATAAGGATTACGTATTACATAATTATCAACAGATTGTATTTAAAATGTTTAACTTTACTACATTTTTGTTTTTATTTTGTTACAGGGTACAGAATTCACGATTTTTTTAGGAAAAATTCCGAATATTGCATCTTTTATTAGCACTAATTCTGAAATAAAACACACTCAGTATTTAAATCAGTATACATACATACTGACTGGTTTATTTCAAAATTAAGTTTGCAAATATGGTTACAACTTATCTTTTCACATCACTAACATTTTGTATCAAATACCTACCAATAAACAAGACATGTTGGTGTTCCAGTTTTCCATCAAATCCATTTATCGTAATTTATTTTGTACATTATTTATTCACAACCATGATGGATACCGATAACAATACTCAGTAGTTTGAACTAATATAATAAAGGAATAAAAGCCACAGGTGAAAAAAAAACTCTTTCTGCGTATGTCAGATATATCTCAATATTTCTTTGAAAAATTTCTATAAATAATTTGAAATAAAAACGCAACATTGTGGTAAAATATATTTCAGTAATATCTTCAGAACATATAACTGAGCCTTCATAAATGATTACAAACCACTTGACTCACATTGCACGTTGGTAGTGTCAATCTAAAAATCAATATTAATGATTCATTTACAATGAACAATGACAAACCTATACGCTCGAGAGAATGCGATTGCCGATTGGATAAATAAGATGACGTGGAAAATTACACCAATCACTAGCCGGAGAAATTGAATTTTGTTTACTGTTTCAAACAAAATTACTGTTGTGGCATGTAATCATTTATGAATACAAATACAGAGGTAAATATTATTACTGTCGAATTCTTTTCATCAAATTTTATGAAAATACTTGTTATACAATAGTGAAAGTATTTTTTGGTATAAAATGGAGGACCACAGTAATGTAACCATTTTTCACAAAGCACTTTTTTCCGTGTATATGTACTTACATACAAGGATCTTATTTTTATATAAACATACTCAACAACGTCTTTCATAAAAAGTTAATTGATGGTAATCTCAAGTGTTTACAGCTGGAAATACCACAACTTCGTCTTCGAATGGCTCTGGGACATGTAAAATAGGATTTTATAGTGTAATTGGAACACGAAATAAATTTAAAAAATCCTCGAACAATAAAAAAATATATATACCTAGATAGTGAACTGCCAAGGCAGAAATCAACTTAGGCGGTACCCAATAATAATTATATACAGGGTGTTTTGGAAAAGGTAACATGAATTCAAGGGCTGATTAACAATTAAGACAATAATTTACTATGAACCATGAGTCTGTTGTATTTTCTTTTTGAGATATTGCGTTTTTCTCAACGATTTCAATAAGATTACCATTTTTATGCTGTATGAAACTTTACTTTGTAATATAAGATAGTGTAAAATGCCTAACTTAAAATAAAAAAATGATAATATAAATAAATGTCATTAGGTAAGGCCGAAACTAGCGATCACCAGCAGAGGGTCAAAATCTAATAACAGTAACGCTTTTAGTACTTTCAAAAACAAAAAATGTCAACGAGCTATACAGATTTTTGGAAAAGGTATGGCTAAAATTTGATTTAAAAAAATGGACGCCCATAGATTATCTTAATTTTGATGTTCCAACAGTCTCTGAATCTATGGTACCTTTTTCCAAAACACACTGTATGTGTATATTATATGTCGGCAAAAATCGTGATATATTATCTCCTTTATAAAGGAATGAGTAGATAAGTGTAAAAGGATGATTTAAAATATATTTAAAGAGAAATCTTGAAACCGATCTTTACAAAAAACATCAAAGGGAAGACGGGTGGAATGAAAACCAACAACTCGAAAGGTTTGATATGATATCATATCTCTGTCTTTATCTCTCCCTTATCCTGATTTGACATTAAAGGACACGTGCCATCCTCGAAGTTGTTTGAAAACGGGCACAAAACACAAAAAGTATGTCCCTCAATTTGCTTGCCTACATTTCCTACAATTCTCAAATAAAGGTGAGACATTAAATGTCAAGCAGTAATTAATTTCCGAAAACTTGCAAGTCACATCTTCAATCTATGTTAAGTTTGTCAAAAATCATTTTTAATCTTTTAATATATTATACAGGGTATTTCTTAATCCCAATGCCAAAAAGAATTAACACGAAAAATTCAAACGAACTGTTGGTCAGTTTTGATTCTCTACGAAGCTGCAGCATCTTGACAATGAGCTCTAAAAATGTTTTTCTTTAATACTTTCTAAATCAGTGGAAATAGATAAAATATATGTTTTAGCTATTGATATACAGTGTGTATCAGCCAAATGGAATAAATAAATGGGGGCGTGTTCGAAAAAACGCTCGGACACGTCGATTTGTATTTTTAGTTGCGCATTTTTTGAACAAAAACTTTTTATACAGGTCATATCAAGTCATATAACAGTGGTCAATACCAACTCTCTTATTTTAAATGCAACACCCAGTATATTATTCAATTTTTAGATTCTATAGAAAATTTTAGACATATTTCATGTACAATGTCCAATGTTCAATATTCAACTGTTCCGGAAATATTAAGTGTTTTCAGATTTATTGCAAAAATTAATATTAAAAAACGAAAATTATTTAATTACAGAAATTCGTTACAACACACTCAAAAACTAATAAGTAATGCTGTTTATTTATTAATAATGCAAAAAAGCAAAAAAAAAACATTAATGTCAATGTAGGAGATGTTCAAAATGCTCGTCGTGAACGTCTTGGCAACATCTTAATCTTAAATAGAAATTTCTTCTAACGTTACTCGACATCTCAGGCGTGATCAATCTAATCGCAAGCGTTATTCGTCTTCCTAAGTCAGTGAAGTCGAGGAGTTTAGTTTTGTATACAATACCAACTTTTGACATAACCCCATAAGAAGAAGTCTAATGGTGTCAGATCAGGGGATCGTGCTGGCCATTCCATCAATCTTCGCCTCCCTATCCACCGATTTGGAAATATTCGGTTGAGATACTGCCGGGCATTGATTGGGTTATGGGGCGGTGCTCCATCTTGCTGAAACCATATCATATTCGCTGGAACTTGTGAGTTTGCTGGATCAGGAAATAAGTTTGTCAAAGTTGGCACGACATTATTTTGGAGCAGTACTAAATAATTATCGCCATTCAAATTACCATCAATGAAAAAGGGACCTATGATATTATCTCCAACAAGTCCTGTCCAAACATTAACCTCTTCAGGGTATTGCGTATGTTCTTCTGTAATCCAGTGAGGATTCCCCCTAGACCAATAGCGGCAATTTTGACGATTAGCATGACCGAGAAGTGTAAAGGTGTACTCATCAAAAAAAAAGATTCTAATTGAATCACATTGTTATATAACATTGCCATCATTTGTTCACAAAAATACGTTCTCCTATCAAAATCGTCTTCCATGAGTTCTTGAGTTAGTTTCATTTTATAGGGATGCAGTTAATTTTCTTTTAATATTCGAATAATCGATGAATGGCTAACATCGAACATTGGGGCTGCTTTTCGACTAGAAGTATGTGGGTTTTCGTCAAACTCAAGCATAATATCCAATTTACTATCATAACTTATTGCACTGGCAGCTGCTTTATTTATCTGCCTTACATGTGCAAGCTATCTTTCGTGAAATAAGCGAGCAACTTTCATTTGTGTCCGTGTGTTATCTCCATAACCATAACTAATCATTGTTATTTTGTGCATCTCTGTTAAATGAACCATTTTCCTGATATGCAGTTAACGAAATTCAAACGACAACAACACTAACAACTACTGCCATGCAGGCAGACAACACGTTGCTAAGGGCAGGCGTTTTAAACAAAAGTAAACAAAACTATTTTATAATAATTTCTGTAATCAAATGATTTTCTTTTTTTAATGTTAATTTTTGCAATAAATCTGAAAACTCCTAACATTTCCGAAACAGTTGAAGATAGGTATAAGACATGGAATTCGATTTTCCATAACTCCCTAAATACAGAAATTCTTTTTGACTCTTGGAGTGTAAATTTTGATTTTGTAGAATTTAGTGATGATTTAAAAAATTATAGCATTTGGAAAATTTTAATACAGCACATTTCAAGTAAAGGTGAAAGATATATCAATGAATAATTATTACTACCAAGAAAAAATACACTAAAGAAGCCGATGGTGTTGCTCTTCAGGTTTTAATAAATATTTTGAAAATATTGGAAATGATTTTTTAAAACTTCTAGGATTTCATAATTCAGAACAATATATCCATAATTCAATACCGTGAAAGGAAAATTTTGCGACCTCCCAAAAATCCCGATCTAAATTCAATAGATTTTAAATAATTATCATTTGTCAGTCAATTGACATTTACGACCTTGGATTCCAAAAAAATATCTATTAGTGGTTTTTCGATATTTCAAAAAAACTTGCACTTTGCCTGTGAATATATTCAAATTTTTCAAAAAACCTTATAGGGAAAATCAAGAAAGTAGTAGTATTTTTAAGAGTTTGGGTACAAGTAGAAATTTTTGTAGAAGTTGACATTTTATTATACATTCACAAATAAAAAAGTGTTTCTTCATCTGGACGTAATCGTGCGACACACTGTATATGTACCTATTTTTCAGCCGTTCCAATGGGAATGAATTAAAATACAAATACAGTTTACAGAAATGGGTCTGCCATTTTATAAAATCAGTTTTCCGGATTTTCCTGAACTGACACGAACAAATAAAAGAGAATTGCTACCACAAAAAACCCATTCTATTCATAGTAATAATCATGCAGACGCGGTATTAAAAACCACCCTGTACACTGTCTCACATACCCAGAGTGTACCAGACCAATCGGCATAATAATGGTTCTATTAACTCAATAGCATAATTGGCCCATCTCTATTTGCACCCTTTCCAGTCGTTTCTGTGAGTGGCCTGGGGGGGGGAGGGGGACACGTGACGATCAGTGGTGCAAAAGTTAAGTGCAGTCGTGCATCCGTGGCTTGCATACATGAGGTAGGGAAATTTCATTAGTTCCTGTGTAACAAGAAATGCAAACGCTTTTCGCGCTATTGCTCAATTTGAACACGTGATTAACCCTTGGTAAGCAAATATTGAAATGTTTTATTTCTACGTAAATTATTCCACCATAACTAGGGGACTTTATAAGGAAGTAGTATTTTCTTCGAAAATAACGTCAAAAAAATTGTTTATTAATGATTGTAATTTCACCACAACAGGTTTTACTTTAAAAGCAAGAAAGACATTCATATGGATCCACATTTCAAATGGTTAATTTTGAAGATAATATAAGGTTCTTGAAAAAAAATATTATTTATAATATCTTTGAAATGAAAGTCTGTTGTTTTTTATGCATTTCTCTGACATCACATTTACTTCAAGTTTGGTCGCTCTTTTTACGATTTTTTCCTAGATAGAAATTAAAAAAGAGAAAGGGGTAGAATGCCATGTGAATTTCATTTGTTTGGGGAGTATGGCAACGCCCTGTATTCTGCATTATATGAACACGATTTATAAATATTCCTCACTAACAATCATAACCAAATATATGAATGATTGTACCTAACATTAAGTAGAAGATCTAATTTAAATTGCTGATTTATATTTTCAAATGTCATTATTTAATCGTGTCAACCTTGGCCATGAAAATGGTTGTTGCCTCTAACTACACTGATAAATAATAGGTCTGCAATTGCTGAGATTTATTCGTGATGGAGAAATTTTTAAATTGCAACTGTCGATCAGTACTGGAGACTCGGGTGAGATGACATACACTTTTCTACATCAGTGTCTGTATGCTTAAAATAGGAACGTGAAAAAAATATCCCACTAAAAACGCACCATCTTATTTTAAATCAATATTTTCTCAAGGATATAGGTACCCTCGCAAAATATTGAACATTGTTTTGAATTTGTGAAAATAAAATGGGTTTATTGAGAGTGGGTATAAAACAATGAGCTTATAAGCGTACTGGAGTACTGCCCAGTATTCCGTCTTAATTGATGCCTTTATCCCTAAATGATCGACTGAGTGGGTTATTGTGTCATGTGAGACTCTCGTAGAACATTGAGAGTTATATTTCAATTAAATAAGTAGTCCTAAGGGTCGAAAGACAACGAATACATTTGATACTGGCTCGTATATTCACAATGTCCAGGAACTCCGTCAGGGATAATGAATGACAGGGTGGACGTTCGTACACGGGCTATGATGGCTCCAAAGAGGTTCTCTCCGAATTTTCCGTCTCCAGTGTGAACTCGATTCGAATGTACCCGCTCTTATTTCTGTCTCTTTTATTTCCATGCTTATACATACATGTCTGTTGCATTCAAACCTTTTAATTTAGATACGAATACAAATCTCAACTTTAAGCTTTGAGGACAATTTTGAGGTTGACCATATATTAAATGTTTACTTTTTGCAGCAAAAATACAATAAATCGTTGTCAATTTCTAGTAATACATTGAATTTTTCTTTATTATCGTATATTTATGTGTGAGGTCATTGACCAAATCGCCACTGAAGTAGGTATCATAGTTTTGATATGCCAACTCAGCCGAGTCTCCCCTACTATTAATTTATACAGGGTGGGTCTCAGAAAGGCTTCATCCTCGATTAACGTTATCTAAAAACTATTCCGCTTCCAGTTGGCCGACCATTCCGCCGCAGAATATGAGCGGCGGCAGCAGAAGCACCGCTATGGGGGGCGGCGACCCCCTGCTGCCCTCTCCAGCCTCCCCAGCCCCCATCATCGTGTCTCCGGAAACGTTGAGCCACTCGTCGCCATCCAAGTCCACCAGGCAGTCTGCACACGTACAAATCGCCCCGCCACCCAAGTAAGTAGACACAAAGGACCGGATTGCTCTTTCGGGGACACCAGAGGAAGAAAAAGGTCTTCTTATAAATAGAGAGTTATGAAAATAAATGCGCATTTGTGTGGGGTTATTGCATCAGTAAACTCGGACTCGGACAAAATTAAAAACATTAAAATTTTAGTGGAATAAATAACCATGTTGTTTATTACTCTCTCTTTTAATTAAATTTGTGGTATTAAAAATTAAAAATAACATATTTATAATACAAAAATGTATTTTTTTTGTACTATGGTCTAATCATAATAATAATGCATCGAAAATACAGAGAGATCCAGAATGATTAAAGCGTTTGTTGAATGCAGCCTTGTATCAAGTTCATTTGAAATATTTGATTAAAAAGTGAACTTGGTTCTGGTTACTTATTTGGGGAAAATCAGAGCTGACGTTCGAACTCGCTTCGGGATGGCTCCGCCAAGTTCTTAAGTGGATCGTCGCTGCGGTGTTTGACATCTGTCCTCTTAGGACTGTGGTTTATCTCGAACTGGCTGAAATTTTAGATTTATGTAAGGCAACTTGATCTAGTGTCGCAGTTTAAATTTCGTGGCAGTCCAGGTATTGTTTTAGCATATAAATGTAGTATTGACAGACACAGGCATAGACTGCGATCTCAAACACTTCAATTATTCTGGATCTCTCTGTAAAATAGAATAGAAATAAAAAAACAGTAGTTGCTACTTCATGGTTTACTAACTGTCAGTAATTTATACTTTATCTTTTAAAATGTTTTAAGAAACTTCGTGGGCTTTTGCAGCTGTAAAAAACGGTACTATTTCGGCACCCTAGTATGGAAACTTCCATATCCTTTTGAGTATATTGGGAAAACATTTATTTTTTTGCTTGCATTTTCACGTCTATTACCGATGTTACCACCAGAATTATGCATGGAGGAAAATTTCAGCTAATGAACTGAAAAATTAATGTGGATATTAAAAAGTGTTAGGTTTTATTTGTTTATTTATTCACTACTTCGTAAAAGTGAAATGAAAGTAAAAATAGTTAAAAACTCTTTACTTTTTGAAAATCTACGTAACGTATATAGATAGTGTAAGGTACACCATCTCCAGATTAGTAGTTCTTTTTGATATAAAAACTGGGGGATGGCAATTTATTATAATATACATACGAGAATAAACTTCTCTAGAAGAAAGTGTTAGATAGTTGCATTTTTCCCAATTTCAGATTAATGTCGCCCGGACCATTGGCTATTGCAGGGTACTTTCATCAACAGCAGCCGTCATTGCCCATAGTAAGAAGATTATCCCGAGCTGAAAAACAAGAGGAATGGAGGCAACTGGGGTCGTAAGTATAAAAATATAATAAAACAATATAAATATTCATCTGGTGATGTCAAAATATGCTTTGCGTAAACCTTTTGGATAATATATTTATAATAATAGTGAACAAAGAATAGCATTTGAAACAAAACAGTATTTTCAGTGTAGAGAAATATAGGGGTCATATTCATGGTTCTACTTAAATTTGGAGGTTAAATGCATTGTGAACCGTGTCAGATAATAAGACGTAAAATGTTTGTACTGCACTTATTTTATAATTTGCAGCTAAATAAGAAAATCTTCATACCACTACAATATGTCATATAATTATTGTCTTTTAAAGTCAATTTTTTTTAAGAGTTGTATCAGATATCTAAAATTATTTATAAGAAGAAACTAATTGCAAATTTAACAATAAACTTGTATCTAAATATATCAGTTGCTTTTTTGCCATTCAATAAATAAGTATAAACTCTTGTTTATTAACCATTATCCTGAGATTCATTGAAACAGAACTTTGGACAGCGCTCATAAACGCGTTTCAGTGACAATTTTGCCGGATCAAGGCCGAGCATAGAGCTTCGCATCTCAAGTTTGGATCCCATTCATGTCCGCTAATATCCGGCCAACTTATTTATTTACGCCAAGGGAGCGAGAAAGCAACTTTTCCTTCTGCTCGGCACCGTTATTTTCTTCGACGCATCTCCCTCGTTCTCTCCCCGTGGCCCCGTATCGATTTCTGACCCCGAGCTCCATATCTTCCCCTGCCAGGGACGTCAAAATATTGCAAGTGACACATTTCGGCTTAAGGGGGGTGTATTTACGAGATGCGTAGGGCGTAAATATTTGTTTTCATTGAGTTCGAATCGAAACTGATCCTTATTTTTATTCAACTGGAATTTCTAACCTTAGGCACCTTCAGAGGAATTTTACGGAAGCATTCCCCTGAAACAATTATTTTTGTTTTTACCCCTCTTTTTAGGGAAATATTATATGTGCATGGTGTTCCAAAAGTAATTTTGATAGAAAACACGGGTTTTTAATTAATAATTGTACATTTTTTTCCTCTCCAATTTTGAATATAAAAGCGTTACTGCATATCTAAAGGTGAAGCCGAACAAAATAAAAGCAACATTGGTAATAATCCATTGAAAAAAGGATTTCAGTCAACCGAATTAATCCTTACACATACTAAATAGATTACGTATTAATTGGATTATTATATTTTTCCCTTGCGATCGGCTGAAAACAGAAAATCCGGAAACCGGACCAGCTTTCTGGACGAATTCCCATTTAAAATCGGAAATAACGACATCCTCATTTGCAGGGACGCCCTCGCCACCACCCTGTCAGCCCTTTACGGCAAACTGCTGGTGGTGATGGGCACCGCCTTCCCCATGGCCGAAGTCATCTCCACGTACATCCCTCCGTCCTTCTACGAAGCCTACTATCTGTACCTCTACATCGGCAGCATGTTCTTCTTGCTGTATATGTACGCCGTCCTGCTCAGGGATAAGAGAATGATGAAGAGTCAAGCCAAGGCCAGCTTGAGTAAGTAATATTTTAACTATTTGAAGGTGTACCAGAAAGGCTATCTATTCGGTAACAGCTTGTATATACAGTATTTTTAACAAGATTAACTTTTTTCGATAAAATGAAAAATAAAGATTTTCCTATTCAACACCTTTTCTGTGGACATACCGTATATAACATAGAGAAAAAAAGATGTATTGATACGAAGATAAAACACAACAAATTGCGTGCGCAAAATTATTGTCCCATGAAGCTTAACATACATATGTCTTCTCAGAGCGTCAGTGAATTAATTTTTTGGAGAAAAACATATCGACATTTTTATGTAATGATAGTTTTGAGTTATTCATAAAACTTATCTTTTTAAAAAAAATAAATCTAATGAATTTCCAATATTACTTCTGAGGAATTTAATATCTTCATTTGTCAATGCAACTGATAAGTTGTGCAGTAAATTATCAACAGTTCTGAACTGAAATAAAATACATCTTTACAGTTTTTCATCATATTATTAATGGATTTAACAGATCATTGCGTTTAATTGTTAGAAGTACGATATAGAGCTCCACAAAGTCTAATTTTGTGTCCTCTACATTTCCTTATTTACATTAATAATTTTCATAATAATTTTCACAGTAAAATTTTAAGTATACCTTTTGCTGACAACAATAGAATGTCCAATTGTAATTTACCTAAAAGGCCAAATATTTTGCCTCAGTCACAATATTTGTCAGATAACTGGTTTCTAGGTAATAAACTCACTATAAATCTATTTAAGACAAACACAACGAAATTTGTATAGAATTTGACCCCTTCTCTTGTTTTTGACGTATGTAGACACTTTTGTGTAATTAATATCTTTATTTATTTATTTTATTTAGTTTCAATACCCAACAGATTACTCCAATTACAGGACAATATTACTGCACTAGAGTACTATACCATAAATGGCAAAGATAAACTATACTACACAAAACATAATTATACATACAAAAATATAACATCAGGTTACAATGTAAAGAACAGAAGCAATTAATGTACTACAGATGTAAAACAGTTATGGCTACTGCAAATTTAGCCAATATGACATTTCATTTAGCCCATTGAAGTTGATGTCACATGTACCAGAAATCATATTAAAGTTATGCAACATATTATAAAAAGGTGATTTTATCAATAAATCTGAATTAGTATGTGGCACGTGAAAAGTATAGAGCTGGCGAGTCATAACAGACGTAAAATGATAAAATAATTTCTGCAACAAATCTGGTGAATCAATTCCATTATGTGTCAGCAAATAGAAGAATTTCAGACATTATATGAAATAAATACCTAAATGAATGTATATGTGTTCCACCATTAACCATTTTTACATCACTTTTCACAAAAAATGTCAATTTAAGTTCTTTAAAAAAAAAATGATTACTCCATATGCATACATGTGACTGGATACTGAAATATTTTTTGCGTAAATGTAACTTTTTAACCCAAGTGTTATAATGAAATTCAATTTTCCATCCCCATAGTTGCTGATGGATGTTCCCAACGAGAAATTTTTAATTAGGGGATCATCTATCACCGTCGCTCATTCATTTCAACTTTCTATGATAATTTTTGACAATTTAATGTAATATAACTGGCGCGCAATATATGGGCCTATTAATTTTATAGCGTTTAATGTTGTGGAAACTTATAATGCACGGAAAAAAATACCAAGCCCATAAGTATATCAGCATCAATCACTGTAAAATGAGGATCATTTCTTGACGGATTCGACAAAATTGTGGTATTTGAGGTTCTAAAAATCCGCGAGTGATTGTTGAGAAACAAATGTATCCACAACGTGTCACTGTTTAGTGCAAATTTTGGGCTGAAGGCATCATCAAATCGAATCGAAAATGTGGCATTAGCAAGATATGGATGTAGAAGACATGTGGTTTCAACAAGAAGGTGCCACATGCCATGCATCTCGAGAAACAATTACTACTGCAGAGCTATATACTGGTCGTGTAATTTCCCATTTTGGTGAACAGAGTTGGCCGCCCAGATCACAAGATTTAACGCCGCTGGACTTTTTTCTTTCGGGTACAAGATTTATGCCAACAAGTCCACGACCACCCAAGCCTTGAAGGAGGGAATTGAGCGCTGTATCAATGAAATTCAGTCGTATTTATGCAAAATGATCATGGAAAATTTCGACAAAAGAGTGCATATGTGCCAGCAAAGCCGTGGAGGCCATTTACCCGCTATGCTGTTCAACAATGTACTTTGAGTAAATAAAAAATTACAAATTTAATTAAAAACCTGTATTTTCTATCAAAATTACTTCTTTCGTGAATTTTAAAATTATCCAAGAGGTTACAGGAGGAATATGCAGGAAATATCCTTTAAAAAATATATTATCATTAAATCTATACTGGAGAATAGAATACTGAATAAAGTCTGCATTGGCGTAAAAGATATATTGAGAGCAGGATACCTTTTTCTCCGTGTGCAACTAACTGTCCTCATTTTTGTAAGAAACGAAAATCGAGCTGAAAAAGTCATTTTCGAAAGTTACGAAACTGGTACTGCAACTCCTAACCGACAAGTAATAAAGTTTCATACCTTATCAAACGTTTTATATTGCCATTTCACACACGTACGTAGGTCCCTGTGAGTTTAATGAATATTCATGAGTGCATGCATGTTACTTAGTTTTATGTAGTATGTAAATGGTACGATATCCGATAGTTTGCAATAATAATAAAATAAAAGCTTTAGTAGGTGCCCCGCCCTCGGACGTGAATAACCTTAAGTACCTACCTATATAATTACTGTAATAAATATTGATTTATTATATTATAACAGTATAAGAGTAATAAAAGATATTAGGTGATATTCAATAAAAAAATCCCTTGTTTGCGTTATATATGCCTATTGTTAGGATAATACCGCGAGTTATGTATCTGGTAGCGGCCAATTACAGACTTAATGCCCTTGATTTGTCGTTGTTCTCATACTAGGCTCTGTGGGGGCGGATCCACAGGTCAAAAATTCCTAGTTAAGGGTATAGAGGTACAATATAATTCTGTCGCGGCCAGGTACATAGGCAACAGCGTATCAACCCGAAAAACCATGATACCTACCCTAAATAAATTAAATATTTCCATAATTTATACTATTTAATTCATAAACTATTACATCTTAGTCCAACCAAATTACACTTGGAGAAAAAAAAATGTTACTTGGAAGTGGAAATGGTAAAAGGGCTTACAATAAATCTAAAAAAATAAATGCGTGAGCAGGAGCGGCAGAGGGTTGATTTGAGGGGTTGAAAAGTTATGAAAAATTCTATCATTGGGATTTCTGGCGAAAGTTGACGTCAAACAAAAAAGTATCCAATATAAAAGTTGTAGATCATGCAAAAATCTACAACTTTTGTAGAGGTCACTTTTTAACATAACATAAAAATTTCCGAGAAAAATGCGAAAAACAGTTTTTTTTCTGATTTTTCGTTTTTTATTTCTCATTTCAGCAAAACTAATTTAATTTTAACGAAACTGGGTGAAAGTATACCTTTATGTGTCTTAAATAACCACAATTTTTTTTTAGATAAAAAAATCAATAAGTTTATGAGATATTTATTTTTTTCGTCCTGAAACACTTTTATTCAAAGAAAAATTCTACTTAGAAAAATCATCGTACAGAGTTCTGCCAATAATCATGTTTTTCGTTTTGACATATACTTTTTGGTGAAATAAAAAAAACTGTAATCACAGTTCAAAAACATGCTAAAAAATGCGAAGAAAATAAAAAATGACGTAACAATGAATTTTTCAGTTATTGTTGATAATAATTTATCTAATAAGAATATTCAAAAACTGATTACACCGTTCAATTCTACGCAAAATAAAAATAAACTGTGTCTCACTGTTTGACCTAAAACTTTATTTGTGTACAGTATTGATATAAACATCTAAGTCGAATTACAAATGCACAATGGCGTCAACATTTTTGCAATCCGACGCTTTCAAAATCTATTGGAGGAGAGAGAGAGAGAGGAGAGAAGAAAAGTCAATACAGCAAAAAAATATCCAACAATTTTTTTTTAATCAATAATTTAAAAAGTTGTACTATCGTTTTCAATATTCAAATTCTTTTGCATTTCTATCCTTTCAGTTCCTTTTCCTTCTTTGTCAAAATTGACAAGAACTGACTGACAATGTCACACTGTCGCCAGTTTTTCCTCTTACTCTGTTCGTTATGTGCAACTATCAACCAAACTTCTTCCAACGTCTATTTACCAGGGTCCTTCGTCTTAAAACGTTACGACCAAACTGAAATCCTACCAGAAGAGGACCGAAGAGAAATCCTGCGAGACATCAAAACTATCTACGCTCCAGAGTACAGACCTTATGTGAACGAATCCATGAACAAATATATTAATCAAGAAAAAAGAGAGGCCAGATCTTATAATATATACGGCCATGCTAGGAGAAACTACGTAAAAACAAGCAGAGAACACCATACGAACACTTTCTTGTTGAAAAAGAATCGATTCGAGAGTAGGCAAGACGACGTATGGGAAGAACCCAAAGCTATAATATTAAACGACGAAGATGAAAAGAATAAGACCGTATCAAACACGAATGACTTGAAGATACCCTTTATAAACGACAGCTTCGTGGAGGATCTGAATTTAAAGGAGCTGCTCTACACAGAAAACTTTTTGAATTTACTGTCAAATATATCCAACAAGACGGATATAGACCTGCTAAAGGTAGTAACAGAGATATACAGGACGACAGAAGAAAGTGAAGAGAACAAAAAGGTGAACCTACTACAACAACCGTTTTCATGGACGAATATCGAGACTACTGAAGACATAAGGGCTGTGCAAGGCATGTACCAATAAGAGAGTGTAATTCAAACAGAAATGATCAATCACTAATTTTAGGTAAAACCATGAAAAGTTACATGAACCTTGAGGTCGACCCCTGCATCGACTTCTATGAGTACGCTTGCGGCAGCTGGAAGAAGATCTATACCATCCCTCCCGACAGGGCTACCTACGATACCTTTGAAATGGTGCGCGAGAACCTGGATTATATGCTAAAGAATATTCTGCACGGCATCATAGAACCACCCATGAACTCTACATACCCTTTCTCCACCAACTTCATAGACAAGAGCTTCCACCCTAACGATACGTCGGATGCCACTATCAAGGCGAAAAACTTCTACAATTCCTGTATGCGAGAAGACATCCTCGCCAAAAGAGGCGACGAGCCTTTGAGAGAGATACTGAAGCAGTTGGGAGGGTGGCCCATTGTGGACCAGAATTGGACGGAGGATAATTTTGACATGGTTTGGTTGATGGCTAGGTTGAGGTTGCTAAACAACGATGTTCTAATAGCCCAATGGGTAAGGTTCAGATATTGACCAATTGCTTATTGAAACTAATTATTTACATAATAATCATAATTCCTCTCACTCTAAGGTAGGACCTGACATGAAGAATTCGCACGAGTACATCGTGCACCTAGATCAAGCGGCACTAGGTCTACCAGCTAGAGAATATTACTTGGAAGATGTCAACATTAAATACCTCAGAGCTTACAAAGTATTTATTCTTACAATTGCACGACTGATGGGTGCACAATCACTATCTTCAGAAAAGGACGTTGACGATATCATCCAGTTCGAAGTGCAACTAGCTCAAATCATGGCTTCTTCGGAAGAAAGAAGAAATATTTCGGACGTTTACCTTAGGTACATATCATAAGGAATCATCAAGATGAAATATAACTGAACATGTTTTGATCTAGAACGGATTTGGCCGCGTTGTCGCTGTACTTCCCTCAATTCGATTGGAAACATTATTTTTCCGTAACTCTAGGAGACGACATCGATTTAAGGACGCCCGTAGCTTGCTACTGCGCTAGGTATTTGCACGAATTACTGTACCTGTTAAGCAATACGGACCACAGAACCCTTCAGAATTACTTGATTTGGAGGTTTGTCAGACATAGGACTAATAACTTAGGTAGCAGAACAAATACATGAATTTCCTTATATTACCTTAGATGAATTATTCTATTTAGACCACAGATTCACAGAGGCTAAGCAGAGATTCTACTACATATTATTCGGCAGAGAAAAGCCACCGCCCAGGTGGCAGTTCTGCATATTCGAAGTCAACTCCAACATGGGGATGGCTTTGGGATCTTTGTTCGTGAGGAAATACTTCGACCAGAGCAGCAAAACTGATACAATAAAAATGACCAAGGAACTACAAGACGCTTTCAAGAAGACTCTTTCGGAAAACAGTTGGCTGGATGAACACACGAAAGATTACGCCAGGTAGTTGGTAAATAAAGTAAAAATAGTTAGATCGTTAATTTAACAATTTGTACCGAAATAGAAACAAAATACATGAAACTGTTAATATTGCGGGAAACAACTACTCTTCGGACTAATGCCTCGAGCAGCAATGAATTACACCATCAATATCTAATCAATTCAGGTCATTCGTAAGTCGAATCCCCCAGACATATACCCGTTTCGAATTTATTAGTCCTCATTGCTACATTATAGGCGGGACAACTGACAAATGATCCGACTATTTTTAGTAACACAGACATGGAGTGTTGGTAAGAGATCTATGAACGGTCACTACACTTCAATTTCTAGATGTTTGAAGATTAAATTAATCGATTAAAAAATATCTTAGAATGAAACTGGATTACATGGACTTGAAAATCGGATACCCGGACTTTATCCTTAACGAATCAGAATTGGCGGAGAGGTACTACGATGTCCAGATTCATCCGGGCTACTTCTTCGAAAACATCCTGACGGTACTGCGTCATACCACGAGAGTAGAACAAAGAAGACTGGGGACGGAGGTGAACAAGACAATGTGGAGCACTCCTCCAGCCGTAGTAAACGCGTATTATAGCAGGAATAAGAACCAGATCATGTTTCCTGCGGGTACGAGCATAAATCATAAGAAAATTGTTTCCTAAGAAACATATAGCAGATTTTGGTTCTCAATATTTAAAAAAGTCTGTACAGGGTGTCCGGAAGTTCCATATTTGGAAGGGCCCTTCATTCGAAAAAGGGAAAATATTATCCTAAAATACTTCTTATGAAAAAGATGACCACAACAATTCTAAAAATAAGTATAAAATAAAAAATTCGTTTTCAGTGGTGAACAATCATAGCATTATGACGCATGTCAGGTCCTATGGTTAAATTAACTATTTTTCTTCAAATTTCCATGTGTGAAGTCGTTCTTCCAAGTATATGAACGAAATTTCCCAACACCTTGAATAGAAGGATCCTTATCAAGTTTATAGAGAGGTGTCAAAAAAATTGTATACCAGATTTCGAAAGGTACTGGTACTGATTAAAACAACAAAAGTATCTCGAAAGAAGTTCTTAAAATGCTTGTAAACACAGTTGCGATTCTTTAAAAGGTGGATAAAAAAAACAAGTTTAAACTTATTTTAAGAAGGTCAGTAGATCAGTTTTTTGGAATTTTATATCTACCATAAAATTTTTACGTCAAAGCCAATAGTGACATTGAAATAAGCCGTATCTGTTGAGAAGGGGTAGTTTCGTAATGGTAAGGGGTTGTTTCCCACACAACTTTTTTATTTAAATAAAGACGGCATTTTTAACACCAGATATGAACAATATTGACTTTTTTCTACTGTAACAATGAATCAGAAGCGTCACCATCAAATACGATAAGATTTTATATTTTTTGCAACTGCGTCCTTCTCCTGCTTAAGCATAATTTTAGGACATTTATGTTCATAAGAACTTTTTCTCTTATTTTGATCAGTACTATCATCTGCCGAAGTCCGGTACACTATTTGATTGAGGATACCATAGATTTCGACCACTTCGTCCCCACTGAATCAGCAGCAATATACAAGGTGTTTTGTAATGAATGGACCATGGGAGGTCCCTGGACCTTAGTGCAAAAGTTAATAATGACAAACATACATAGGGTCAAAGATGAAAAAAAAATTCTCAGTATATTTTCGCGCATAGTATTTAGACCAAATATCTACGAGAGTTTATCGTGATGCGGAATTTGATATTTTGCATATTTTATAGGTAACCCTATGTTTGGCATGCAGTGAACATGTAAGAGCAGGTTTCAACTTGTTTTATCCTCACAGTGATTTTTTATATTAATACTTTTCTACGAATAAAAGGTATTTTTAGTTGACATTACTAAGAGCATCCGTTTACTGGGAAAAAACGGATTTAACTTTGCAATGCAAGTAACAAGTAACCGTAAAAAAAATTCCTTAGGTCACCTACAGCCAAGTTTTATTGTCAAATTTTATATTTCCTTTTTAATACCAATTCTAAAGTAAATAAAGCTTATTTAATAAAAATGCCTCACCACAACTTGTTTTGTTTGCCAATAATGAAATGACATGATTTCGCTTTATTGGCAACAAAAAGAAAGGTGTTTCATTCTAAGAACCGCTCTTTACAGTATGGCCCATTCGTAACAAAACACCCTGTACAATTTCATAAATCGTCGTCGACTGCACCGTAGGTATGCTCCAGCCGCCTTTCTACAATCGCCACTTCCCCAAAGCCCTAAACTTCGGCGGTATCGGCGTGGTGATCGGCCACGAGATCACACACGGCTTCGACGACAAAGGCAGGCTCTTCGACCACGAGGGCAACCTGCATATGTGGTGGCGGGAATCCTCCATAGAGAAATTCTACGAGAAATCGCAATGCCTGATAGACCAGTACGACCAGTACGTATTACCCGAGATAAAAGTAGCTTTGGACGGTTATCTGACTCAAGGAGAGAACATCGCTGATAATGGAGGACTGAAACAGGCGTTCAGAGCGTACGAAGCTTGGCTGAAGAAGCATCCCGAGGCGAATGAAACGTTGCCAGGTTGAGGTTTGAATCCATAATGTTAAAACTGTTAATTAACAAATGTTTCTATATTAAGGATTAGATCTGACGGGAAAACAATTGTTTTTCTTGAATTTCGCTCAGGTTTGGTGTGGCCAGCAAAGGATAGAGGCCGCTGAAAGTCGGATAAAGACGTCGGTCCATTCTCCGGGAATATTTAGGGTTATTGGAGCGTTAAGTAATTCTCAGGAGTTTGCGAAAGCCTACGGGTGTCCCAAGAATAGTCCGATGAACCCGGATTATAAGTGCATAATATGGTAGAAAGGAAATAAAGTCTTGTTTAAATATATATAAGTGTACTTTACAATTAGTTATTTTTTATTCTAGATTCTAGGTCGTTTATGTATTCAAAAATGGAGAGTTTTTTTAAACACCAACGAGTAAAAACCATTCTGCAATGCCAAAGGGGCTTAACAACGAAAACTGTTTTGAAATATTGTTAAAATTTGCGAAAAGGGGAGCCAAATTTTGGCATTTACTACAAATTAATTTAACGTATAAGTAACTGTAGAAACCAGACAGACAAAATAGCAACACCTGCGAGTTTCTCATTACACCAGATGCATTTACATCAAGTGACATCTGATGCACCTACAACGGTTCTTTTGTCAACTAGTGACAAAAGCAAATAGTTTCTAATTAAACTAGTCAGTTTGTTGGTGAGGCATCAGTCCACGAAAGATTCATTTTGGTTTTTTGTGTGAACTGAATGAATTCGCAACCGAAAGGGATACATTCACAAAAAAGAATATAACATGGCTAGTAGTAGAAGTAAAACAACGTACTACTGGCCGTTCTAGAGGCTGAAAACTAAATCAAAATGGAAACTGTCAATTTTCCCAACCAAGAGGGATGCGTCAAGAAAAATTAGATATGATATGGCTAATACAATATAAAACAATGTATTGTTGGCAAAAATTTTATCACCGCCGTTACAGAGATTGAAAACTGAGTTGGAATGGAATTTTACTGTCAATTTCTTTGGATTAATACATAAGTACATGACTTCGCAACCAAAATGGATGCATTAACAAAAATTGGAGAAGACATGTGAGAGTTGTTTTCGGTGTACAGCAAAATGAAACTCTCTCTCAACGGTAAAATAAAAGTATTCTTATTGAAAACAATAGTACAGTGAAAGGAACTGTTGTCAGGGCGAGCGTTTGTTGAAAAGTCTTGGTATGGAGTCATTCGCATGTATATGTATCTAGTCCTGGCGCCAATCTGCCGTGGACCTTTCCTGGAACCCTGGTGCGTCCCGCGTCTGTTCTTTGTCCTTGCAACTATTTTTGTCACCGCAGTTGTGTTATTTTAGTGAATACGTACATACCGTAACTTCGCAACCGAGAAGGAAGCATTAACAAAAATTGGAAATTACATTACTAGTAAAGTTGTCATTTATATGACAATGTGAAATTAGCAGCACATAATGACGCATCCCAAATTCAAATTCAAAATTCGCTCAACTTTCCAATTGGAACCACGAATCCGTCTTCAATTATTCTACGCAAGGCCAAAGTGGAAACCCATGTTCTAGGGTACCCAAACTACTGTCCACGAAAAGCAGAAGGCGCGGCGCGGAAATATTATTTTCAACTACGTTTCCAAAATTTCCGCCAAAGTTTTCAAAGAAGCTCCCAACCGACCCAAACACCGATACCGCAGTTGGCGCCACCGCCGGAGGGTGATGCTGTCAGCAGAGAAATAGAAAATTCACCTTGGTTTCGAATTTCTGAAAATAAAAAACTACTCCGAAAATTGCAAAATTTGAACTTAATTTTGATAGTTTTGTGCAGAAAAAATTAATAAAGATACAGTACATGACAATTTGCACATTAGAATGAATAACTGAATAACTTTTATAGCAACTGTAAAAACAAATATACAGGGTGGCATAAAAGTATGGGAACCCCAAAAAATTCCGGAAGATATGCAATTTTCGGAAAAACCAAATATAGGAAAGTTAGGATTTTTCCCTGGCTATTCAATGATGACCATGCCATGACCACTGACCACTGACCACGTGGTCATTATGGGGTCAAGACGATTTTTTTTAACGGGAACCCCCCTTTTTGACCCCGGAAATGAAAAAAGCGGAAAATTTTACGTTCGGATATGACTTTGACCATTTCAAAAATTTCAATTCAAAATGACGGCGAAATCAAGATGGCGGACGAAATTTTTGAAAGTTAACCGATTGTCACCAAATTTTGTATACGGAGGTTTTCGAGGTCGCTGATCACGAATCCGAGGTCAGATTTTCAAAATTCAAGATGGCGGATCCAAGATGGTGGATGGGATTTAATCAATAGGGACCAAATTTGATATACGGGGGTATTGGGGGTCACTGACCCCATATTCGTGATCAGCAACCTCAAAAACGGCCGTATACCATCTTTGATGCAAATCGACTGATTTTCAAAGAATTCGTTCGCCATTTTGAATCCGCCATCTTGAGTTTTGCAAATTCGGATCCGTGATCAGCGACCCCAAAAACCGTGCGTTGATGTTTCGATACCATTAGATCTAATATGCTATAGATGTACACTTCAGTGACTAGTCACTACTATTGGCCGTTACTGACACTGCCAACTTAACAACTTAACGAGACGTGACTAAATTGGCAATGTAAAAGCAAAGTTGTTTATTTTATAACATCCAGTAAAAAACATGATAATAAAAAAAAAGTAGGTAATTATGCTATTTATTAACTTTATTTTACAGGTATTTTATGTTTACATAACAAGAATATATCTCGTATAGAAACTGCTATATCTTATTATATTTTTTTCAGAGGCTGAAGAAGCTAAAGAAGAAAGCTTATCTGACGAAGAATCCGACAACGATTCCAACTCCACTAGCGTGGCGGACACCGTCAGCTCCCACAGCTATAGACCCAGAAAGTCCTCGCTATCCTACTCTGAAAAACAAAACCACTATGGTAGCTTTTACCTGAGAATGGGAGCTGTAGGTTAGTATCAAACAAGATTTTTGTGTACCTAGATTTCTGGCATCGAAACACATTGTCTGTCTTCATTTGATAGTTTTTTTTACGAGTTCAATCACCTACGATGTATGTTTTTAAAACATGATTTGTTTATGATTAAATACTTACTACCTACTATTTAGTTTTTAACTAAATGCAAATATGAAAATGCGGCCTGCTTAATAATAATATACTGCTACATCGCCCTCAGACGTCTCCGATTTTTTTGGGCTAATCGGTGCGATTTGAAAGAGAGGTGGAAACATTATAATTATATACTCGCATTCTCTTGTTTCAGCCTTCGGCATCGGGAGCATGATCTACTCCGGCCTGGAGTTCGGGCAGTACTTCGAGTTGGAGAGGAACACGAAATGCCACAACGTCCTGCTGGCCCTCACCCCGGCCACGAGGATGGCATTTATTTTTATACAGATGTACTTTATATTTTTGAATAACGAAGTGAGTCTATTTTTACTTGCTCTTAATTGTCACGGGATGTCTCCTCGAATTTATTGCTCCCGAACCGAATTGTTTGAGGAAATTAATGCCTGTATCGCGTTACAAGATAACGTCCTATATAAGTGCTACAAAACGCACTTTAGACATCATTAATTTCTAACGCCCTTCGTCACATGACAGCGTGCAGATGTATCAACGCGGAAGTTAGTTAAAATGGACAGATATTGTTTTCAGTTGGTTATTAAAAGTGACTATTATTTCCTCGAAAAAATTTTTTCAATATGTACAGGGATAAGAAGAAAAACTATAGGAATTTTTATAAATTTTCTATAAATAAGCAATGACCCTACAATTTCCTGGCACTAATATTTGGATTTTCAACAGCAGACGCCACAACCTTAAACTAAATATTATCGTTGTTACTTTTATGTCTCCTGGTAGTTTTCTCATAATTCGCATTTGCTGCTCATTCAAACCTTTCCTTCACATTTTCAAAACAGTGGATCTCTGTAAATTTGGATTATTTGCTTTGTAAATACGTGCTGCTAGCAAACATTTCCCATATTTTTTAATTCTTAATCACTTGTAGCGATTTTTTGTTAATTTTATTTTATTTGCAAATAAATGGTAACTTTCCTTAAAGACTTATTTATTAAACTCAAATATCTAAATGTTTCAGTTATTAATTTTTATTTTAAATAGTGTAGCTAGACAACTAATAAATTTAATAAAAATAAATAACCTTACAATATTTTTCCCGACAAAGGAACGGGCGCAAATCTGGTATTTTACATAAAAATGGTTTTTTTGCAAAAACTACGCAACTTATTTATAGGGAAAGCTATTAAAAAATTGTTGGGTCTACAGAAAGGCATCTAATGAAATCATAAAACACAGGGTGTTCTATTTGAAAGAGTCGAGATTTTTGAAATCTTAAATTATCAGGTTTGGCACCATTTTTTTGCCACCTGTATATCGTAGATCAACTTTTGATACGTTTTTTGAGAGAGCCATCTTCACTCTACAGTTCCTGAAAAAAAAAAAAATAAAATTCTAGCTGTCATACAATCATAATAATGTCAACTACTAGAAGTGACGAAACATAAGAAAAAAAAAATAAAAAGTCGATTATCTCGAAAACCATCAATATTTTAATAGATATCATAACACAACGTCCTGTTAATTTTTCACGTAGAATTCGATAATGCCATAAAAAATATAGGTTTTCGTTAAAAAAAATTAAGTTGGTACATGCCCAGGAAAAACTGAACACCCTATATATGCAAATATATTTTCATTTTGTGCAGCTCGGGAAAGTAGGCAACTCTGTAGAAAAAAAATTAAGTTATATCTTTTATTAACCTAGATATTGAACTTACGCGCACTGGGTGGACACGGTGTAGTTAAGTTTTTGACATATTCATTTGGCCATATTCACTTAATATTAGAAATGAAATTTTATATCGTAAGAAAAAATTATATACATACAAATGTGCAAAAATAAACACGGTGTTCCATTAAAACACCCAAGGTAGATCTAACCCGATTTTCTATTTTATCGTAACACTTTTATTCGTGTATGTTTTTTCATATCTTAAATAATAATGAAGATATAAAATTTTGGACCACCCGGTATTTTAATACTTTCAATACAAAAAACAATTTCCTATAATTAATACCAAAACGAATTGTATTTAAAAAAGATCAGTCAGTAATTGTTCCTCTTATATGTTTCTAAATATAAACTTTAACCGTTAAAAGGTATTAAGGAACTTTCAATTTTCTTGTCTTTCAGCAAGGCTATAAAATAAATTCAGTATCTCTGTAATATAACTGAAGTGTGGTACATCTTTTTCCCTTCTCTTTGTTATCTATTTATAATCATGCATTTCTTTTCAAACACATGTGTTTCACTAATTATTTGACAGGGGTTTGTTCTCATGATAAATTATAGATATCTAGAATTCTTTGAAGTATAGGCCAGATATTTTGTTTATTTCCATTTTGTTTTTCTTCTGGAAAATAATAAATTGAATATTCACTCTCACCTGAAACTTGTAGCATAGCACTGATCTGCTAAAATTGTCAAATATGGAGTTATGTATATGTTTGTCCCTACCGGTGAAACGGATTCTTCCATAGTTATGTTATTTTAAATTTAATGAAAAAATGTTTTATATAAAAGTTGTCTGGAATTATATTGAGCATCCCTGTAAAATATTTTCAGTTATACAAGATACTCCGTTTCTTCTGGACGATACATAACTTCGTTATTTTAAATGAAACACCCTGTATATAAGTGATTTATCAGATTCCTCGCTTAATTTTAGGTTCACTTTGTTGACCATACATAGTACCTAGAACCCGTCGTTTCCGATATATTCGACTGTTTCTGGAAAAATTCAACTCTTCCAAGTAGCATCTAAACTAAAAGAATTAGGAACATGCGGTTTACACAGTTCATTTCAGCAGAAATTTCTCTATCTTTTACGTTTTTTGAAAAAAAAAAGTTATTCAGGACCGAAAATTACCGACTAGTTTTTTGGAATTTTAGATAAAAACAAATTTTTCTCGAAATCTGTTAGAGAATAATATGGCAAACCTTCAATCGAAGTTATGTATCGTCCAGAAGAAACGGAGCACCCTGTATAACTGTAAATTTTTATTACAGTTATGGCAACTTTATTATAAAACATTTTTTTATTAGATTTAAAATAAAAGAGCTATGGAAGAGTCAACATTAGGTGAAACATCCGGTATTATTATTTACTGTACTCCTTTAGTAAATAAAAGAAATAGAAATATTGCATTGTCTTATTTTTCAGCAAATGAGGGTATACAAACACAAACTAGCCGCGCGATTCGGTCTTATGCACATGATAGGTACAAATCTCTCCGTCTGGCTGAACGTACTGGTACAAGAAACCAAACACGAAATACTCACATTTTACAACCCCGAAAACAACTCTTTGAAGATATCACATCGCATCCCTTATAAAGGAAACATTCTAGGTAGATATCTATCAAGCAAAGCCAGCAAATCGAATTGAGGATTTATTATACCAAAAATTTCTTTCAGGACTGCCACTGGTGGCCTCCGATCACCCCCCGGAAACCCACGGCCACCACATCGTCGCCAGAGGCTTGAAGGGTCCCCACCACCTCTACGAGTGCCGACGCACTAACATTATAGGCTCCCTTGTCCAAGACGCTTCCCCTTTCCTCTTCCCCTGTACCATCGAATACAGCCTCATCTGCGCCGCCATCCTCTACGTCATGTGGAGGAGCATCTCCAAGATGCCTCCCACAGGTCTAATCTCTAGGACTAAAAGTGGAATCACCCAGTACAAGAAGAGCCCTCACCATTACTCTGTGGACTGCGCCAGAGCCCACAAGGGTCTCTTCGTCGGTATCCTCTTGCTCGTCCTCACCATAATCTCCCTCATACTCTTCTTCGTGTTAATCTCTCGCGTAGAATTCGTCGGACTGGCCGTGGTGGAGGTCAACATATGCGAACTGGTTCTGTACGGTTTGACGACCCTAGCGTCGATCGTGGGGATGTGGCAGGTGAGGCAGCTGAAATACGACGGTAGTAAGAACCTGCAACTGGACAACATCCTCTTGATTGGCGCCCAGACTGGAATGTTCATCTACAGCACCTTCACCATAATCGGAGGACAGTTCACTTTGCAGCGGAGCACCGTGCTGGTGCTTGTCACGGCTCTAGCTTCACTTTTACAGACCACCTGCCAGACAATCTTCATACTAGACGCCTCCAGGAGGACCTGCGTGACTCCAGATCAAATGAAGAAGAAGCCTGGTAGGGAAATAGTCACTTTCCTTCTAGTCACCAACCTAGCCATGTGGGCTATTAATACCTTGGAGAAATCTAGAGCGGAGTCACATCCTATCCAGCTTCATTTCTATGGTCTTTGGGCGTGGACCATCATCACCCACGTGTCTATGCCCCTCGCCATTTTCTACAGGTTCCACTCTACTGTGTGTCTGTGCGAGATTTGGAAGAGGGCGTACAAAATGAAGCCTACTTACATGTGAAGAGCTTGGTGAGACTGAACAGGTAACCTTCAGAGCAAAATATATGTATTTCAAAATCAATAGATATCAGGTTTGACACCTCTTTTAAGTTATCGTAGAAACGTATAAAGAGTTTTTCTCATTTCAACTGAAATTTTATATTACCTTATAAAAAACTAATTAGAATATTAAATGTCATGTGCGCTATTAACACGGAATCCAAGGGTGAAGGGGAGACTAAGTTTGAATATCAGAATACATAATCACTTGCTAGGTCTAGGGTCCGTTTTGTAATATCGATCGACACTTATTATTGACTGAACTAAAGGGAATTAACATGAGTTCAAGAATCAAATTTTGATCCAAATCACCAAAAATTCAGTTTGAATGAACAAAATGATTTTTCTACCTCTATTGAGAAAATGATAGCATATTTAAAATATTTGAAAAGTCTCCCCGCTAAATGGCGCCTTTGTTAATTGTTAACTATGATATTCATAGACAATATACGCTTCGAGCTAATACAATAATTACTTTCGGAGAGGATATTTTTGGAAAATGAACTGTATTTGCGACTGTGTAAAAATAAATAACACCAATAAGTATAAGCAACAGGCATCGCATGTTAAATCCCACTTCTGATTCTATCGCTATGCTTTTAGCATAATTCATTATTATGTAGTAGAAATAATACTACCAAGAGTTCCCAGAAATGAAATAAATCTACTTAGGACAATTAAATAAGTCAAGAATACAGAAAACTTACCTATACTTTATGTATTTAAAAAGTAAGGTTTTAATTCTTCACATAACCAATTATTTTATCTAATAATAAGACCGCAGGATGTTTTCAAACATTGTTTAATTTAAATAAATGAAGTGTTTGAATACAAATGTATTATTAAAACAAAACAATAACAAACTTCATTTCCTAAAAATCAAAAATGAAAGCATCCTAATTTAGGTAATAAGTTAATATTAACGCAATAAACTACATGCTCATATCGTTACAAATATATCACAATTCAAGTACAATAAACACACGATTTTTTGAACTTTGCTCACTATGTATTTTTATACAGGATGTTCTTGATGCGCATGCCGAATTTCGCAATAAATCAAAGTCGAATCTACTCGAGAACACTCTGTATAAAGCCCTCTTAGCTTTAAGAAACTATTAATTAAACTAAACACCTCAGTATATGTGATCGAGTCTTGTGACATAGAGTAGGGATAATTTTTTATACTCGACATCTTTTTTGTATACATGTTTTTTATGTAGGAGAATCATAAAGGAAAAAACACCCATGCAATTTTTGTGTACAAATTTGGGGAACAATATTGTATAGTCGATAGTGACTTAAAGAGTAGGTTTTGATATGATTTTTGGATTTTTATACGATATTATTTAAGTCAGTATGTAGGAAAATCGATTTGTAGGTAGAAGTAACTAATTTTTAGGCTACATGTGAGATCAAAATGGTGCAAAATCAAAAAGCTTTAGTATTTGCGGATATTTGTTTTATAGATATTTATGGCAAAAATTATTAGTGTTTTAGGTAGCAACATACCAAGCCAGATCAAAAAAAACCAACCAATACAAAGTTCTGTTTAGTGCCACTTTCCACTATGAAAGTATTATTTTTGATATAGGTATTTTTGACAAGATTTTCTTCCAAAATTCCACTAAAAAATATATAAGTATAATTTTTATAAAATAATTTAAAGGTTAGTTGTAAATTTAGAATAATTAATTAAGCAGGGCCATATTTGGGAATTTTTAATAACACATTTTTTTGATCTGGCATAGCTTTATTATTCAGAAGCAATTTTTTTGTCTACTACCTTATACAATTTTCTCTCCACTTTTTCATGAAACCTAACGATGCAGTTAAATATTGCATTGCTAATGGCCATGAAATTGATGAATGGCCAGAATAAGAACAGCGGTTTAACACACTTTCGAAAGGTCTAGTTTTGTTTTCAACATTTTTTTGTACTGTTGCGTAAACAAATATTTAGTTCCTTTAAATATAAGTATATAGTTATGTTCTGTGTATACATTTTTTCTAATCAGGTCTACAAAATTACCAGTTTTTAAACCTAGTAATTAAATGCTTACTATCATTATGTTTTTAAAAATAGTTGTTCCATATTAGTGCCATATTACCTATTGTAAGTTGAATAGTTTGTAACGTGACAATTTGTTATCCCATTAGAATATTTTATTGTATATATCGTTTTATTTATTTGTATGTGTTAACTATATATATTTTATTTGCTATTATATAGTAATTTATATGTTCAATGTTTATTACCTTTCCTATATCCCAATAAAATTAAACACAAACGTCATTGTTGTATTATTTAAAGGTATACTTGAAACAATATTTATTGGAAGGGAGGGAATGTCGTAATGTCGCAATATATTATTTTGCACAATGAGTCAAATTGCATCTTACCTGATTACATGTTTTTGCTAATATCAAAAATTCTACATTGAAGAGACAAACACATCGTACTATACATTAAAATAATTTTAGAAAATTATATACCTAGGTACACTACATAAGACCACTAAATACACTTTAAATTTTCTACAAAATTAGACATAATAAAATTCAACATTGCACTATACAAATCTTATTTTCATGTACATGGTTCATCTGAACTAGATCAGTGTCAGACATTATTGACGTTGAGATTCACAAACTAAACATAGTGCTTTAAAAAATAGTAACAAATGGTTTTATTAAAGACTTGAAATTATTTAAAAAATATTTGAAATCTGTCGGATTAGTAGGCATTTTTATTAATTTTTTATGTAGTAACAGCAAATAGAAATTAGTTTTCATAACGTATGCCTATTCACATACCAATATAAGTTAATATTTAATAAATTATATAAAAATTATAATTTTTTTAAAAACACTAACATAAACATATTAACATAAAAAAATATATGATGACTTTAAAATGACATGTCGCAGTCACACAAAAGCAGTCTGTCCTTCAAAGTTATTTTCTATTACGGTTTCGCTTTCTGCCATTCCGTTAGTTCTAACAGTTGATATGAAAAAGTAACAAAGAACTGATAAGCACACAACGGAGTTCGGGAGCCGCCCAATGGCGGCGTAGACAAGAGTTTAAGTCCAGTTTAAAAGTCGAAGGGTAATTCGATCGATTAAAAATAATAATTTCAGATTATTATTCCGAGGGAACTATTACCTCTAAAAACTGACCCCTATTTAAAACTATACCCTGTATTATTCAGAACTGAATTTTCATAAATAAACTCTGACAAAATCCATTTGGATTTACTTTTAATTGATGCTATAACTATTTTTTACAACATTTAGGAATAGAAGTATCAAGTAACACATCAGCTTCCGTCCTGTTATTTTTGTGATGACTGTACAACAATCTGTAATGTAATTCCGGTACGCCGCTTGGTATGGCCTGCTCTATTGAACATTTGTGAGGGTGGACATAGAGAGACCGAATTTAACGTTTAACTAAGCCAGAACGGAACTAGTGGGGACGAAATCCGTACGTTTCCTCTTTGATCTTGGCGTGCCGGCAATAACCATAAATTAGTCCGTAAATAAGAGGAATTAAACCACTAGGAAGTCGCATTGTATGCGGCTGTAGTGGTACGAATATGTAGAAAGCATAAGAAACAGATTCTTAAAAAACATAAAGTATAAGTACTTTCGTGAATAAAAAGGAATTAAATTACAACTAGTAATAAACCAGCATGATCAAACTAAAAATTATGTAAGAAAAAAATGGTTCTTTTAATGGTAATATGGTAATTCCGATCCTCATCTTCGTAATTGGCAATACATTTTTGCAGATTTTGTAACACAGTTTGTCTAAATACAAATTAATGCACAACATTCTATGTTCGGTACACAATGAACAAAATCTAGGTGATCTATATCGGGATTTCGAGCTGTCCATTGCGTCCTATTTATGTGTAAAACAAGTAAAAGGTCACACAGTTTGAAAAACATACAGAGGAGCTTGAAGACCAAGTTGTACGGTTGTTGTCTGTGGTGATAACAATTAGCATACAGACAATAAGTCATATTTAAGACATTTGCATTCCCCGTATAATACCATATCTTGATTGGAATAGAGCAGTTTAAAATAAAACAACTTAAATCAATCTACAGTCGACGAAAGCAAGCAAGACTCCTCGCCGAGCAAATAACCACACTGAACTTGACCGCATTGTAAACATTGATCAATTGATTAAATGGGTCGATGCAGAGTCGACTTAAGTTTCGCGTAGTATTTTTTATTATATTAATGAAAAAAGTTTATTTTCACATCTATTACCCACTGAAGAAATAAATGCATTTCAGATTTTTTAGAAACTAAAGCTTCTTACAAGTTTCAAGCACGATGTTTCCTTCTGTGTACAAAGTGAGCCGAATTGGACACTGTCAGGACTATTTCCCAAAAAGATAGAAAAAAGTAATTGCCATGTTACTGACTAGATACAGGGCGTTTCTCAACTTTGGTCGTTTTCTATAACGACCCATAACTATTTCGTTTCTGAAAATATATTTGATTTTTTGTAGAGGTTTTTGCGTATGCAAAATTTTTCTGTATAAAATGTCCTTTCTAAGGAGGTATATTCATGATCCTTACACAAAAAAGTTTCTTCAAGGTGTAAACGAAAAATAATTTTTTTATATCGTCAATGCATGACATCATTTTTGGTGTTCACTGCTTAAAATAATTTTATTCTGTAAATGATACATCATTTGAAAGGGTTTTTTTGTTAATTTCTAAAATAGAAAAATGTGTTATACTCCGCGGACGAAATTATAGAGAGTGACTCATCGCTAGCTTTTGGACTAGTAAGGGGGATGAAGCGTGCCGGGAACGAAAATCCATTGGCGTGTCTGCGTAAAAGGCAACAAGATATAGAAAATATTGAAAAAAGATAATAAAACATAACATCTAATATTTTTTACGGTTTGCTATAACCGGCACTTTGATCAATGCCAATTATTACAGCATTTTAAAACGTCCCAGTTGTGTTTTTTTAATTTATAAATTTATTATTGCCATGGAATTAGACCCCTCGTCTACGCTTACGCTATGACGTTTCTCAGGACGGGTAAATCAAGTCCGTTTACACCCAACTAAAAAAGCATTTCCCTATTCCCTACCAAGTGCGAAAAACAGAGATAGAATATAGATCGACGTTCATTGTAACTCAGTCTATAGACGATTACAGATTCTATCGATGTGCGTAGCGAGCGGCACAAAGATAAATAATATTGAACCGTATAAAAATCATTTTATATTTTATACGCATTATGGTAATAGTGTTTTTATATTATGTCTGAGTCACTCTCTATAATTTCTACCGCGGAGTATAGTGTATTTCAATTAAAAAAATAAGTTTATATTATTTTATTTTTTATTTTACGTAAAAAACTGTGTAAAAAGAAATCTTTACATTTTCACAAACAAAAATGTTATGAGGTATCACAGAAAACGGACAAAATTGAAAAATGCCGTACATTTTTTAAATTAAATCAAGATTACGAGATGCCATGCAACTTTTCTCGAAAATCGAGGCTGTGATATCAAAACTACTTTTTGGGAAACATAAAAAAACCCCAAAAGTGTTGATTTTGTCAGCTTGTTGACAATGATGTTTGAAATGTTACTAAACATACTACATTACAAAAAAAAATATTAAAACAAGAAAAATTTAAGGTTAAATTTCAATATAAGCAAACAGGATCTTAAATTGAGTTCCCATGAGAAATGGTAAAAGATCCAATATTCCAATTTATCAAAAACACCAATATGGTCGGTATTTCCATAACCTTCACGCAAACAGCACCTTCAGATGAAACAATCCTTCTCCTTTACGTCTTTGTTTGCCTTTTGATGACGAATATTAACCCCTTCGTCATCCCCGAAGTGCCACACGGACAGGTCCTAACGACCCTTAGTCGCAGCTGCAGGACAAAGAAAACAAACTCGAGGCAACACATATGAAGGCATGCGAGGCCGACAAGGGGGTGGCGTAGCGGCAACCTTGCGTTCCATCGGCGAGGGTGAGGGGGATAAAAATTTCGACCCTCCGAGGAACCCCCGGTCACGTGATATAAACAGAGGCCGAGGAGGGGTGGGGAATGTGTACAACGCACACCGCTGGTACCGACAAGCCGTAGTGAATAGAGAAGTTCTGTTATTGGTACGTGGAACCTTCGCGTAGAAGGTAATGAGTTCGTGGTGCTTGTCCGAAGACAACGGTAGTCGACTGCGGAATTTGCCAGTCTTTGTTTTTATTTAGTTTGCGAGTCCGCTGGTTTTAATTACAGCTAACTGGGTTAGTAAACCGAAAATTAGTTAACTACTGTGTAATTATCATCGGTGAATGTTTATATGGTCGACCAAAATGATGAGGTGAGTTGTTTATTTTTTTCCCTGGCGCCAAATTATAGTGCGTTTATTTAGTTTTTATGTAAACGAATTCTCAACGGCTGTTAACAAAATAATTGCTGGAGTTGTAGTATTTAAAGTTAAGTACATGCAAATTAATGTTTCAATAGATTCGTTTTTATCTTTTTGTTAATTGATCGATCATTGAGCTTTCACGGTTTTTTTTTAGTCAGTAAGTAATAAACTTCTTTGTATCGAACAAGAAATGGTGAAAGTAGAGTGTTCGACATTATTGGCGATTTGTGTTTTGAAAGAAAAATAGAAATAGATCAACCATATCAGTTCTTTACTTTAGTTATAAGGCTATAAATGAAAGGTTGTAAGTATAAGTAAAGAAATTTAAAATATCATAATAACAGACAGATGTTGTGTACCTATTTTGGTACATTTGGTACAAACGTATGAAGTAGTCTTTATGAGCTCCAAAAATGAAGATAATGATTCTTTATACCTATTATATTAAGGAAATAAGTTCTTTTTGACTTGTTCTTACTTTTTAAATGCAGAGTATTATGTTCCCTGCTTGTACTCAAACCCTTAGAAATGTTACTACTTTATTGATTTTTCATAGTGTTAAATTTTTTGAAAAATTTAAAAGTAACTGCAAGCAATACTAAGAGGTGCCGTCATTGAGAACCCCAGAATTTAAACGCTACTGATTATTTCGAAAATCAGTCTATTTGATTCGCCCATAACAATAACAAGAAGAAGAAGTAGATACCGAATAGATGAAAGTTAAGACTTTGCCTATAAATAATAAATCAGAATGCATGTATAAACATAAATAGGTATATAAATTGAAGATTTAACTTTAACATACTTAAAAGCAATTATCAATATAGCACAATAACAATATTCCAATATGACAATATTTCTGCCTGTTTTCATTGTACTAAAATGTGTTGGTAACTGTTTGAAATCTAAACAATTAACGAATAAATATACTATACAATTTACTAATAAAATAAAGCTACCCGCAATTATACAACTAGTATATGAATATGTAAATGCATTATTGCTATAACAACACACTTTAACAACATAAAGGCAAGACCGCAAAGTTTCCGCACAAAGTTTAATGGATTCAACCAGAAAATAAAGTTCCTAGATGTCTTGAAAACAATAAAATGAAAAACTTTCTGAAAAAAGACATGTTCGCTAAAAACGATCTGCTTGTGTTTAAATATACAAAAATGTAGATTTATGTGGGTCAACATGTATAGGATGTTTTTAAATATACATATTTTATTGTTAGCTTTCGTATTTTTACTTTATTATAGAGCTATTACGCCAAATCAAATTCAAATATTTGTTTCCTAAAATATCCCATCAAAGGACAATATTCTTTGATACCAAAAATCTACGCAAGCAAAAGATATCGAACCTCACAGACGGTATTAAAACTGTTGGTATTGCAGGAAACAACTAATTTGGGCCCCAACTAACACTGAATTACACCAACAATATCTAGCAAATAGCTACAAAGCCACCAACATTGTAGAGTTGGTATTGGTAACGAAAAATCTAAATCAATGTTAATCGTTCACAATGAACAATGACAAACCGTTATGTTTACACTCGAGATAATGCGATCGTTGATTGGTTAAATAGAATCTCGTGAAAAATTGCACCAATCACATCCAGTGAAACAGGGTATCTCACCACGAACTCCATCGATGGATATCTGGGAAACCGCTCGAAAGATTTTTTTGAAATTGTGGTGGTGAGATACAGGCCGTGCGACCTACCAAGTTAAAATATTTTCAAGGTCATCGTACTTCCGGTTATATCGGAAGTCGATATCAACTTTCTTATTTTACATGGAACCTCCTGTATACTATTGCATTTTTTGAAAGAGCATTTATTTTTTAGTTGAAAACATATGCACACTCCATACTTAGGATTGACCGTTTCCGAGATATTTTGATTTTTAGGCAAACATTGATAGATGCAGACTGTCAGCAAAATTTAGTTTTCCAGGAAACATAGGTTTTTTGGCATGAGAAATCATAATTTGATATATAATTTAATGTATCTTTTAGAGGGCGCCACATAAACCACATGTGTGGCATAAATGTACACTAAACTTTTTTGCCCATCAAGGTAGCCTTCTGTTGGGAAAAAATATTAATGGCACGGCATTGTATATACACTATTTTTTGGTCTTCGAAATAAAATAGCATCTATCACCAGATTCTATTAGAGCAGCGACCCACAAGGAAGCAGTCTCCTAGATATCCATCGATGGAGTTTGTGATGGGACATTCTGTATTGTGCTTTGATGTAATATTAATTTTATTGTTTTAATAATTTCTAATTTACCGAAATGTAAATGCCATCATGAAGAAAATAAACTGTTCCAAACAAAATTACTGCTCACGTAGCTTGTAATCTTATGAAGGCTCTGTAGAAACATTGTTTGACTTTATTTGACAGTTTTTTAGGAAAACATTATTTCCACTATTATATAAATATTGGGCATTTTAATACATTCGAAATTATGCACATTTTGAGATTTTGGTTTCGTCTATCCTTCAAGCAACGACCTCGACAGTCGGGACTTCACGTACAGATGCCCCAGCGGAATTTATTCTTATTACTGTCACACAACATCTACATAAAAATGAACCAGTTGTACAATCTCCCAGACCAGATCAATATACCACCCAAGGTGATAATGGCAGCGATAAAGGAATCCTACTCTTTAAATCGATTATATCATTGGCAATTGTGCAACAACCGATTATCCGCGAAGGTCGGTTCAAACTACAGAACCGACGTCGTTTCGCTATTTCTGACCGCTTACACATCACGCCGGAGTGGATAATGAAGAGCAATAAAATTAATTCCACAGTGGCATGTGCAATAAAATTGAAGGAGAGAAAAAAGTAGCGCTGCCGATAACGATTCTTCGACCCGTGGAATCGGTGACCTGTAAAATATAGCCCCGTTATCTTCGAGTATCGCAATCACTATTTAAAATTGTTAGTAACAAGTAGCGAGGCTAGGAATTGACGAAATTCGAACAGAATTCATATCATAAATATGAAATTCTAGTCGTCTGTACGCACTGTAAGTAAAGCTGGAGTAAAACGTTCCTAAAATAGCAACGACCAAATGCTTCAAATTTTTATATATATTATACAGGGTGATTCACAACTTATTCAAACAAATTTGGGAATAGATGCGGCATGAGAAATGGAGTCAATATCGTAAAAAAAAAATTTGTAAAATCCTTATAGTTTCCGAGAAAAAAATTATTGAAGTTATAGTACATTCAACCACTACATAGCTGGACAACTGTAGTCTCTAGCGTTCTTCGCAATACGCGTGGAGAGCCACGTAGCCTCAGCGACTCCGAATACTGAAATTCGATTTTGCAATCGTCGTTGCGATAGTGTTTACCTGTTAGCTGTGGTGTTTACAATAATTTTTTAGTAGTTAGTGTCCAAAAAGAGTTTATGGATATCGTTTTAATTTATGGTGATTCAAGACAACATTTGTATTATGGTGAAGCATTTGTGTTATAGTGAAACAAGAGAGCATTTGTGTTAGTTCGTGGAAACTGAGTAAGACGGACCCAAATGATTTTATTATTTAAAAACACAAATTAATTTTATTAATTTTTTTTTTTTTGAATAAGTTCTGAATCACCCTGTATATAACGTTTCAAAACACCAAGATAGAATTGTACATTAACGATTTGGCTCTGTAGAACGAACTTTTTATGGACAATAACCCTTGGAATCGTAAAAACAAATCAACATTGTCTTCTTTTTTGACTTCTCTAAACGAGATATTTTGGGTTTTGGCTCGTCTGGGGCCTTCCACTAGTCACTTTGGAGCTTGGTTTCTGGATCATATTGAAAACACCACGTTACATCACCAGTCACAAGGTTGTAATGGAAGTTTTTGTCGGTTTTGGTGTCGTTGATGTCTTTCCAATATTGAATTCTGAGCAAGTTTTGGTCGTCGGTCATTTTGTGAGGAACAAGCCGTATACACATTTCCCGGTAACCCAAATGTTTTTGATATGTAATTCCACTAATTTCAATAAAGATTTTGACTAGGTTGCTTATTATTGACGTCCTCACGACTATTTTTAAACGAGGCATACCACTGCCATGGGATAAACAGTCATCACCATAAATTTGGTTCATCAATTGAAACGTTTCGGTAAAACAAAACATAATATTAGCTTTGTTCAATGCTGATTTTTGTATCGACGACACAAACATACTGTCACTTCAGATGAATTTTGACAGTGCATCAGTGAAGGATCTACCCAGGAAGACTAGGATCTACCTTTCCGACGCATGTACTTGTCAATAGAAATATCTATTTTTGAAGAGTCTTGTTTACTTCGGATTAATTAAATATCATTCAATGAGCCCATTCTACACAACATGTACCTATGTTAAATTAATTTACGTTTTTCGTGTATAAAAAACATACAAGTACGTAAAAAGTATGTACGTAATTTTCCACAGTTAGTGTACCTACATTGAGATAAAGATAAAAATGTTAACGACATTGATACAAAAAAAAATGCTTTCACCCTAATTTCTCCCAGTAAATGAACTGACGCTGTTTATGGAGTGATCAATGTCAGAAGCTAAAATTACATTATGCTGTAACCAGATCCCACCCATATTTCGATGGCAACAACTAAATATAAAAAACAAGCGGGTCACGAATATTGTGAAACATCGCGATTGTTGACCACAACTTCCATAATAATATAGAAAAATATTTGATGTATCATTAATTTATAATGCAGCGTAATTTTGTTAATTTTAGAAGTCGATAATTATTTAGTTAACGTATCATGCTATCCAAACATTATTTTAACCTAATCCTCGACCTAATCCTAACTTATATTCTTATTTATAATTAGGTTAATATAGTGAAATGGTGTATTGCGTTTAACATTTTTGAATTGGATAATTTACCTTTGGATAATT